GGCCGAAAAGGGCAAGACATCCTGGCTGCTGTGCTTTCTTTGGAGCACAGAGCTTCTGAAGGAGCTTACAGTACCTTGGCACCAAGGATTACAGCAAAGCTTTTGATCATCTGCGCCCTTCGCGGGCCGCAGCCATCATGGAGCACGCAGGCCTCCCTAAAAACATAGTGGCGAGTCTCAAGCTTCTTTGGACGGAGCAGCAGAGGGTCATTTCTTGGGAAGGTCCTTGCTCTGATACTCTTCAGCGGGCTGGTTCTTTTTTGCCTCAGGGGGATGCTTTTTCGGTTCTGGCTCCTGGCTCTCAGGCTCCCCGCCCTTAAGCTTCAGCAGGAGCATCCAGGGCTTTCGCAGCTCATTTACGTCGACGATGGATCTTGGGCTGCGAGAAACCCTTCGGAGTGTGAAGCTGTGTGGAACTTCTGGAAGCGGGAGTCAATCAAGCTAGGTTTTAAAGAGAACATTGCCAAGGCACAGTTTTATCATGCGACCGGCGCTGGTCGCAGGAGGCTGCGCATCACCTCCTGCGAGCCTCAGGTGTCTCACGAGTTCACTGTACTCGGTGTCACGCTAAGGGGCAAGCCCGGCTGCAAGATGAGTGCTAAGGAGAAGAAGCGCATTGATGCAGCCCACGTTGTGGCTGCTAGGAGCAAGGCGCTTCCGCTTAAGCTGAGGAGCTGAGGAGTAAAGCTTTCTTGATCTCTTGTACGTCTGCCGCTGTCGCGTCATGGGGTTGGCTTTTGTCGTCTCCTCCGAAGACTCACACTCGTAAGCTTGAAGCTGCGTGGCGGTCTCTGGGCGTCGACCTTCGTCAAGCGTCTGTCCCTCTCCTGAAGGTCTTGTCGGGTCACGGTTTTGACTTGTCTTTCATGCGGCTTTTGCGGCGTTTTGGCGTGGTGTCCACAACGGCACTTTGTCTTTGCAACGGTGGGAGTGGGATGTCAGTCTGGCGGTCGCTCGTCTTCGCACCTTCATGTCTGACCTTGGTTTTTCTGTTGTCAGGCCTTTTGTTTGGTCGGGTAGAGGTGACGTGTCTTTTGAAGGCAACCTTCAAGGCAGGCTTCGGTCTGCCAAACACGTTATCCACGAGGCTTGGAGGCGCAAGATGTTAGAGCAGCACTCTGGCTCTTCCAGAAAGGACTCTGTTTTCATTAACCATGATGAGAGGTGTCTTAAGAAAGCTAGGGCTTTTGCTGCTGAGGACAGGCATATGCTTGCTATATTGTCTGGTGCATACGTTTCGCACGCTCGTTTTTCTCGGATGCTCCGTGCTGGAACAACGGCGTGCCCTTATTGCATCGACATTTGCGCTCCGGCTCTGCCCCCGCCCCTACCAAAGCCGTGGACTCCAGCGCTCGGGACTTCAGCCGCTGACCGAAGCTCAGCGCGTGTTAGGATGGCCAGCCGGAGGAGAGCACGAAGCTCACGACCGCAGAGTGCTCGTTTTCCTCAGCGAACTTCGCTGCTGCGACTTAAGGCTTCGCTATGACAGATAGTGCCGTTCGGCCTTCCTGTCTTGGCCTTCAGCTAGGTTTTCGCTCCTCTGATGCTCTTGATGCTCTGAGGGTGGCTCCTTCGGGGGCCTCTGCGGGCTAGGGTCTCGTCCTGCTAAGGTTCTCCTTAGGCCTGGGGCCTCAGCTAAGGAAACGCTTTTCTTTTGCCGTCTTGTCCCCCCTTCATGGAGTGGGCGGCGGCGTTTCGAAGGCAACCGTCAGTCCCGCCTGGTTTCAGACGACGCAAGTTTTTAGTGATCGCTGCTTGTGGTGCGATGCTTTAGGCACCTGGCATCACATTTGTTGGGAGTGCCAAGCAAGTCCGTTTGTGGGCTCTCGGCCACCGATACCGCGCTGCAATATCCTTCGGCGCTGGGGTTGGGGTCGCAGGGCTGAGTCGGATGTTGTTCTCCCCTACCTTGCTCAGGTCCAAGAGTGCCTGTGGCAAGCTAGGTGGAGGTCGTAGCTTTGTCGGCATGGTTGTGCTTGCTAGGTTGTTTTCACAAGGTTTCTTCTTTTGATGGTTGTCCCTTGGCGTTTTCGCTTCTCGTTGGTTGAGCACATGAGTTGTCAAGTGTTGCTTCAAGCCTTTGTGCTATAGGCTTCGCTTCTGCACTCATGTCATATGGTTGCCCTCCTCCTTTTGCAATGAGGGGGTTCGCATGGTGTCCTGTCCATTTGGGGGCTGCCGGCACCAAAACAAAGCTAGTTAGCTAGCGCTCAGGTTGTTAGTGGTGTCCTGTCCATTTGGGGGCTGCCGGCACCAGAACAAAGTTAGTTAGTTAGCGCTCAGGTTGTTACAGCGGTCTTCTGTCAGCGTGACCCTCAGATGGTGATGTTGCTGTTGTTGCCGCTGCAGAATCGGTAAGTGCTTTTGCGAGTTGCTGGGCTGAGGTCAGCAATCGAATCCGCCCAAAATGATCAAGCATCTCTGGTTCAAAACATCTTGGAAGAGAAAGAGGCGGGGTGATGCCCGGCAGGGTGCATCGAGCTGATGCGAAGCGCTGGCATTGCGCACGAGTATCTGTGCTGTTATCGCTGCTAGGAGCATCGTGAGAAGCTCCTGGACCTCTTCGTTCAAGTCGGAGATGAGCAAGACACGATAACTTTCGAAATGCTACAAGCTCAGCATTTGCCGGTGACATGCCAGAGATTTTTTTCAGTGTTCGAACTTACAGTAGTCCCAGCCATGCTGAAGAAGGCAGGGTTTCGTGCCGGAGCATCACTGACAACTGATAGCATCGGATGCCACTCAAGATTCATAATCTACCCACATAAACCACCATATTCCAGCAGACATCACCGAAGGGTCAGTTTGCTATCGCTTGGAGCGGCGCGGATCCTGAGTCTGGGCAAGCCGAATCGGTGCTGTGGGTTGCAGTCGCAAAAAAAGACCCCGATTGCACAGATGTGCCCGGCTTTCGAGCATGCGCAGTGCAGTTGGCAATGTGTATAATCTGTCGCTGGCAACACTTCTTCGGACGCCAGCCGATGTTAGGACGGGTGCAATGCGTCCAACGTGTTTGGGGGGACACAATTGATCGTGTTCTGGTCGGAGAGCTGTGCGGGAGTGCTGGTTGACTCAGGTTTCAGGAGAAGATCAATGATCCGGCCGTTCGCAACTATTTTACATCCATAGGCCTTGTGGACATTCGATCACTCTGCAGCTGTTGACCATCGTCGTCATCATCGCATTAGTAGTACAAGCATCATCATCGTAATCATCCTATTCAACAACAACAGGCCTGGATGTATGGGATGCATGGAGCTTTTTCAAGCTCCTTGATTTGGACGAAGGCTCGGTCTGTTTTGACTCTTCTGCTTTTTGCGAGACCTAAACGAGTCCACACCTCCTTGCCTTCTGTTGTCTCATCCGTGCGAGCCAGTGAGTGTGCAGGTGGTTCCGTCGAGGCAGATGAATTTCTGATGGGGTGTCTGCGACTTCGAGGACAAGCACGGGCTGTCGATGCTTCTCGGTTGGCTCCTGTTTGCCGGATCTGTTGGGGACGGCCACGGTCCGAGCACCAAGGTGGGCAAAATCATCCATGACCAGACGTGGTTGATTCGATGCTTGGCGTGAAATGTGAATGGCTTGTTTGTGGCGACGCCCATGCATGCATGGATCACCGACCGTTGCAGACGTTGTTGGTTCCCATTCGTAAAGTATTGCGCACTTCGGTTTGTCACGGATGCCAGGAAATCAAAGCCACTTTCAGGGCTACGTGGAGGTGCAGCTCCGGCAGATGAGACTGAGCTCAACTGGGTATGTTGTGAGGGTCATTGATGAGATGTGCCTGTGCATGCTTTCAGTGTCTTTTGTGACAATTGCAGCTTGCTATAGCTTGCTTCTTGTTGCATTGAACGTTGAATTCCAAGCTGGTTTCTTTGCAATTTGGAGCTGAGGAACCAGTTGCTTAGTCGTCTCACTGGCGTGCGACTGAAGTCAGTGCATCTGCTTCAAACGTCGCAGCCGTGAAACACGGCAAACAAGTTAAAGCACTTTTCCAGCCAAGCTGGTAGATTTAAGTTTAGCATGCAGATATTTGCTGGTGCAGCATGCGAGGTTGACTCTTGAAGTAGATCAGATTGAAGGCAATGCCTTGCCTATCACCCTACTGGTTTGCATAGTCAGAAATTTCAATATGGGATCGAGGAATGCGATGTTGCCATGTCACACCAGTTCTGTAACAATTGGGAATGATATTGGTAGGATGTAAGACGGGAGTGCTTCACTATAGCAGTATCTGACGAGGGCTAGGCACTAACGCTTATCTGGCACGTAAGCTTTCATCGAATTGAGGTTTTCTGATCAGGGCAGTTAGAAGTTTTACCCGTGGTGTGGGAGATGTTTTCCTTCGCCATTTAAAAGTCAAGATCAAGCAACCGCTCGAACCAAGTCCTCACTGACATACGAAAGTAGAGGGCTCCGATGTTTCGAAGAGTATGTAGACATTGCAGACGAATCCTTGCCACAGCACTAGAGTCACCAGAGCTATCTCGTACACCGCCACCGCAGTTGTTGAGCACCCCGCCAGATCGAACGAAGTTCTCCAACTGAGCACGAAGTCTTTGAATAACGACAGCTCGAATCAGATCGAACAGTCGATTGATGATTTGAGATGTCGCACATGGAAGTCTTGAGAGTCTCTCTTTCCGTGCTGCTGTTTTCCAACTTCCATGATCGAGGACTTCTTCCGTTCGTTAAGAAGTGTTAGGTCAAGGCCACGCGGAGAAGGACCCGACACTCCACTGCTGGCAGTGTTGTGCCTGTGCTGAGAAGCACCGCCGTTCCCGGCAACGGGGCCGTAGAATGTTAACAGCATCCGCGGAGTGGCGCGATGTCGGCCTGACGAAGTCAGGCAGACAGACGCAGCTGCGAAGGCGAGGACGAAAAGGTTCAAGCTGAACTGAGCAAATCCAAGTCTGTCACTAACGAGCAGATGAACTGTCAGTCTATGCAGGACCGAGTTTATGCTGTTTCGCGACTTGACGCAGGAAGCGCTTGTCGACATGAAGAAGGTGCTAGCAACTGGATGGCACCATGCCGTTGTGAGGTTGCGCAGGCCGCATTTCGCTGTTAACATGGAGTTGGCTTTGAGCTACATCGCAGGCTTGCCTTGTGGACAGCCCCCGCAAGGCTTCTTGCATCTTCCTACAATTGTGTGCTGGCTGCCATGCTGTTGAGCCTGTTGAGCGCTGAGACAGCGACAGTTGGACAGCTCGTCCGGTGTTCTTCCGGCTATTCCGTGGTTCGACTTACGAGAGAGCAGGAAGTGTTGGGACCAACTGCAGTGCCAACTGCTCCTATCTTCCTCACTGTGTGCTGCTGCGTCTGTGTTACTCCGGTCCACGGCTCGTCAAAAATTAGGTGTCAGGAACTTCTATCTTCTGCCGCTGTGGACAGTGTGGGTGTGAGCGCAGGTGTGTGAGTGACTGAGTGAGTGACTGAGTGAGTGACCCAGATGGGACAGCTGGAGCAGGCAGCAGACGACAGTCTTTTTGGTCTCAGCTGTCCAGCGTTCCGAACGGGATATGGAAAGCCTGCCCGGAAGCGCATGCTCTATCTCTGTGAGATCTCAGGAAATTTCACGTACGGCTACTTCTAGGTAAGACTCAAGTAGTCGGAGGAAGATTGCACGATTTTTGTGCGCGTCTTTGTCTGTTTATGTGCGTGGTCAGCCTGTGGCACTTCGGGTAGATTCCAGAGCACGCTATGGCTTAAGTCACCTTCGCCGCTTGCACGCTAGGCTTTCATGTGGACGCTTGCCGCAGCCAAGGGCCCCGCTTGGTACAATGCCGTTCTGGGACGAAATCCTTTGACGAAGGACAGGTAGGGCGACTTGCCTAGGACCAGCAACGCCCAGCGCACGACCAGTGTATTTCGCGACCCAAGTTGTGTCATGCTAGCATTGTGCTGACTGCCGTGAGTAAACAGGAGTGCAGAGTCCAGATGACTGTCGTGAGTAAATAGGAGTGTAAAGTTCAGAAACCCGAGGACGAGAGTCCCTTAAGTCCCAGGAGCCGTTGGTCACGCTTCCAGATTCGATGCGAGAGGAGGCCCGAACAGATCGGGTTTGCATTATCTTGGTTTAGTTCGGTCAGGTCATAGCCTTATGTTAAAGCAAAACGAACGAAAATGTGTTTTGGCCAACCTAGTAGCTCATGGTAGCAACATGCAGCCAGAAGCTCTTCTCTTGCAGAGCATGAGGGCAGCATCCGTCAAAACGCCAGATGGTTGCCATTGCAGGTAATGTACCACCTGAACAATACGGCCGCAGGCTCGGAAAATTGCACGTGTCAGCGGCCTTGAGTTCGTTTTGAGGCCGGATGTGGGTTGCTGTTGTCCCAATGGGCTCAGGTCCTGCCAACTCGTTTCCAGCAACTGGAGCAGTTCCTTGCTTCCTCGAAGGGGCCCTACTTCTGTGGAGACCGGACACTGCGCTTGCATTTCAAAACTTGTTCTTCGACAGTGGTCTGACGCCAGAAGCCTAGAAGCCAGCTTTCGCCCCCGAAGGATGACAGTCTGTGACCTGAGTCTGCACCTCGCTGGAAACATGAGTGAGAGGCTCTGTCTTAGGTCCTAGGCTGAATGCGGCTCTCTGACGTCGTGGGACAGCATGACAAACCATCGGATTGCCGAAGCATGCCCAAGTCGTTGCGTTGCACAGACGATGTAAGCATGCAGCGAAACCAGAAGGCGTTTCATTTCTGCCACGTTCAGGTATGTCTATGCCTCGGGAATCCTCGACGGAACTTTCGCAGCGGGCGTTCAGCCTAATGTTATGGACAACTGCCCAGGCTTGAGCACGACCAGTTTTGAGAGTTTGCCACAAACTTGTATTTCGCAGGCTTGAAAGCTTTGGTGGAGCGAGTGGGGAACCACCCGCGTGTACCTGTGCCATGTTTTGATGTGTAGCTTAGGGGCAGCCCTCGGCCCACAGCTTTCCTTCGGATTGAGTGACCTATGCACGAGGGCTGCAGTTCTGGCTCGAGCGAGCGGCGAAACGAGTACGGCGCACAGAAGCACAGCACTGGCAGCCATGGTTGGAGACCAGTGTGTGTTGACGCAACATAAGTTTGCAGTTACAGGCGCGGGGCAAAACCTTGAATTTTACTCTCCAACGGTGTTTTCCGGTGACAATGCGACGTTAGATGTGACTGATCTTGTTATGCCCACAACTGATAGGTATTGTGAGAGCTGTCGTCCAAAGCTAGGAATGACCAGCAGGTGCGCTGCTACTTGGCGTCACAGTGCTCCTCGATGCGGCCCGAAGGCTTCGCTCCAGGAGACTGGAAGCGTAGCCAAGATCTGACAAGACAAAGAGAGCGAACAAAGAGAGCGAGCCCGGATGTGTTATCCATGATTTTCTCAGAGCTTGTCGATGCCTTGCAAGGAGAAAGCCGGGTGAATTAATCCCTTGTTTGCCAGGCCTGGCTTGCAGCTTGTGAACAGCATGTGTTACGAAGGATCCTACTCAGTCCCACTCCAGTCGTGACGAAAGAACTTCTATACAACCAGAGATGCAGATGAGATGACTTGTCAACTTTGCAGCAGGTGGGTGGCCAATTATGGGGCACTTCTTTACGCTCATGCGAAGCTTGGCAGATTGAGTGTCTTTCTCCAGCTTGCCTGGAAATTAACGGAACTCCTGCGCAAGTCATCAGTCCTTGGACTGTGGCAGAGGATACTGCCGACAGAATAGCAATTTGGCCATGGGACGCTGGGCAGTGGATGTGGCAAAACGTCAAGGCAAGTACGACAACATGTGCAAGATGCAGTAGTTATGGTGTCTTAACAGCAGAAGGCCAGTAAATCCAGAGAGGCTTCGGGATCTACTTGGCCTCACTCGCGGGCCACGATATAGCACCTTGTCAGGCACTAGTGTAATTTGACACCAGGCGCCCAATCCTTAAGGAGCTGCCTTCAGTCTTGTCATACGTGCGGGTTTTAACAAGAGACGGTTCGTGTAGTTGTCGATTAGGTACTTCCGAGCTACTAGCCGTAGGTTTTCGATAAACACTGCAAGATGTAGCAGATCGAGTTAGACTGAAGCATTTGCAAGGTCTGGGTGAATGATGCCGATTTGGCAGAGGAGATCATGCAAGGAGACCCACACAGGCAGATCTGCCATGGCTCTGACTCGATTAATTCGGATCTTTGCCCATTGGAAGGTACACGAAAGATTTCTCGAAGCTTCCACTAGGAGGTGACCTCCTCGGTATCTCCTTCGGAGCCACCTGGCTGCACGGTTTGGCAAAGAAAGGTCCCGTGCCTCAAACATTTCGGATCTTCAAGCATGCGTAAGGATGGCTTGTTCTTCGCACCGACGGATGATCTGAAGTGGGAGATCCCGCATAGGATCCTGAAGAACCCCTTCTCAGTGCGAGGCCGGTCGGGCCCGGGGTCGGGGCAGATCGTCTCCCGTCACCTTTCACCCTGAGGCATCCGGGCAATCATGCCGATGATGCGGGATCAAGCCGACAAGCTCGTTGCAGCACTGAAGCGAGATGTCGGCCACGCCGGGGTCACACACATCGATGCCAGAAGCTCATGACGACATGTGTCGGTCTCTTGTCATTCTCAGTGACTTGAACTTGCTAATGCGAGGCATGGGTGACGAAGATGGCATTCGAGACGATCGCAGTGTGCGGGCTGGGCACGTGCTTGGGCCATCTTGTTCTCCAGTTCCTACTTCGCATGATGCTCAAGTGCATCAGAGGTCCTTCGGGTGCTTCGAAGACGACCAGACCCACCCATTCATCAAGGCATTGAACCAGGCGGAGCCCGAAGCTTCTCTTCAAGTATCTTTGAAGAAAGGCTTTCACTACTGTTGCCACTCGCCCTTGAAGCTTCCACATGGCCGCTGTCCTGAGACGATTTCGGCCATCGATCCGTTGGGCACATGGCCAAGCATGCTCAGGCGCGAAGCAACAGCAAGACACAGCAAGCAACTGCAACAGCTCCTGCACAACTGTGAACCGTGAGTTTCGGAGAAGTGCAGGGATGTGCTTTGTCAAAGGCCAATTTTCTGTCGCGAGCTCCTCAAGCAGTTCACCTCCTCGAGCAAGAGTGTCCGTGACACATGCTGCGACGTTATTCGCAAGCGTCGCGCTGCCGGGGCTGCCGGCATTGGGGAGGGCCGCAAGGACGGCAGGGCACCCTGGTCGACAGCTTTCCCCATTGGCCAATTTAGCCTGCTCGCAAGCTGGAAGCGCTGAGAATCTTCTGTTGAAGGACCTGCTTGACATGATGTTGAACGATGTGGATTCAAAAACAGGGCAATCCATGAGCCACAGCAGCACGACGATGCACGCAACCTCTTGGCTGAAGACTGTCTCTTGCAGAGGTTTCGAGTCTGAGGACTGAGGATATGATTGTTGACAACGTCCTGACCTTCCTGCTCTTCGGTCGTGGTTTGGTATTGGCCTGGTTGCGTGGTCCAGTTTTTTGATTGGACTTGAAGACTTGAGGTTCGCCGGTCAGGACTCCACTGCCGCAGCCATGGGTTCTTGCCTTTGCTTCTTGCAGCTCGGCTTTGTAGCAGCCATTCAGAGGTGTGTGTAACAGTTCGCCGTGAGAGCTTCAGCACTCAACCTCGGTGAGGTGTTCCTTCCCGGAGTGCAAGGACATGGCCCAATGCGAGTGCGCTAGTCAAGAAACGCTCGCGATTTAGAAGCGTGAGGAGCGCCTCATCAAGGAGATTGACGAAGTGGTTGGCACCAACCAGTTAGAGTGGGACCATCTGGGAAAGTTGCGGACTCTTGCCTCGACTGAAGCACACGTTTGTCTGCAGGGGTTCACAAAGCACAACGAGTGATTGGTTGAGTCCAAGGTACTTGGATTGGTGTTTGAAGGAAACGCTTCGTCTCGCGCCTCCAGCGCCTGGCATCATCCGGCAGTCCACAGAAGAGCAGCTTATTGGGGGGAAATGGAGAATGCCTGCGCACATGCCGGTGATCATCAACATCATGGCTTTGCATTACAGTGCCTGGGATTTGAACCTCGGGACTCTGCTATACTCTGATGCTTCGGTGTCAATGTAGCAGCCACACTCCTAGATCGCAGTAAACCTCTCGTGGCAGGCAAAGAGCTGTGGGGCGAGGATGCTGCCGAATTCCGCCCAGAGCGTTGGGAGCACCTCGATTCTTCATCCGAGGAGTTCGGACTCGATTTTGAGATGCCTAGCCTTGCTGGCTGAGGCATGGCCAGACACACAGGTTTGCGTACGTTCCTTTTGCCACCGGTCCACGTATCTCGGCGCTTCCTGTTCGTCATCCTTTTTTCTGCATCGCTCCGTCGCATGGGGGGATTTGGTGACTGAGGCCAGTGCATTGGCAGGGAATTCACCCTGGTGGAGCAGAAGGTCACAATGGTCCCGAAGCTGCATAAAGAAAAGCAGGGACCGTAGAATTCGAGTCAGAGAGCATGATTGTGTGGCATGTGTCATGAACCCATGACTCGTCATGAATACTTCCTAACGCGACAAGTTAAAGCGGGACTTCATTTCTGAAGTTTTCGGTGGAGCCAGGTGAAGCTCTTTCAGAACTTTGACTTTCGACCCGCAGACACTTCAAAGGCCCGGGCCTTTTGTCGCCTCATGAATTGGTGCTCTGCCGCTGTTAAGCGATCAGGCTGAGGAGGGCTATTTCCTCTTGGAGCACAAAAATGCTGCACACCCCCCTTTCCTGAACCTGGATACGTGTCCCATCTGTCAGTGTTAGTGGGCAGGGGCTCTCTTCTATGCTGTCGAGTCTAAGTCTAAGCCTTGGGTCGACTTGGCAAGCCCGGCTGGGATGAGGAGTGAAGTTTAGGGGCTTACATACCCCGATAGCAAAGCAGTTCGAAGGAGGTTTCGGCCGTCGTGTGTTTGGAGCTTGTGGTCCAAGGCAAGTCAAGAAGGACAGCGGCTTTTTGGGCTTGTTCCGGCCCTTCCAGCTGCTGGAGCGAAGGCCCGAGCGTGAGTGTCGCAGTGCTGTGATGGCTCGGCCGCTTCTGGCGTTGCCAAATCAGGCGTGGCCTTGCGCAGTGAAAGTGTGTAGCACGGGAACTCCATGCTTGCAAGAGCTGCCGGTTTGGTGGCCTTGCATGTGCGGACGGGTGGGAAGCCGCACTCGAGCCGGTAATTCGTTAGCGGTCCCAAGCTGTGCAGTCGAGGGACCAGCTGACCGGCAACTACACTCTGCTCAAGTGCAGGCATGCTCAAAGCTGGCAGGTGAGGTTGCATTATGTTGTCTTTGAACGTACAGGTGCAGAACATGGGTCCACTTTGATGGCCTATGCATGAGTCACAAGAGCTTAACTTGAAGGGCTGTTGCAGGAGCGAAGTCTCGTCCGACAGATGCAGGTCGGTACAGAGCCCCGATTGCGGCCCGATGCAGCAGAAAAGGTTCTCTGACGTTTCCTGCATGGTTGCGGAACGACTTTCGCAATTTGCATAGGGATTTGTTCAGAAGCGTAGCGGCCAAAAGCGGATGCCCACTGCCGGGCACAGCGGACGCAGTGACCAGTGGTGCCTTCAAAGGAGTGTGTTTGTTTGGTCGGCTTTCCGGTTATATGTACTACTTCTTAACAGGTCGCTCAGGCCGAGGCACCTCACAGCTTTTTACAGCGGTTTGGCAGGTGCCAAGCTTTCGTCCACTCGGGACTCGTCAGGGCCTGACAGGCATGAACAATCTTAAATCCTGCGAAGATTGTGCCCAAATCCGTCAATCTAAGGAACAGGACGCGTGCACATCGGATGTTGCTGACAGGGTAACAGAAGTTACAGTCCCTCCATCAACCAAGCCTTTGACAGAAAAACTTCCAGGTTGTCTGGTATCTACGTCTAAACAGGTTTCGGCCAACAGTAGAACAAGTGCTAACCTGTATATCTGGAACACAATGCCTTAGCAAGGCTGAGAATTTTCGCAGTTTGCTGGCAATCCAAAAAGCTGAGACATTCGTCTAGCGGTGGCCTGGAAAGCAGAGCCTTTCACGAGTGTCTCTACAAGGATGGCGCTGTGTGTTTGTTTGGTTGCTTTTCTATGATCGCCAGATTGAATTCCAAGCCTAGGGGTTAGTAGAGCTCCCTGCAAAACTGGCAAAGATGTATACCAGGGAGGTATGACCGCTTGTCCGATGCCATCCATGTTCGCTGTGTCAATTGGCCGGTTTGCAAAGTTGTGACCACGCTGGTACCCTGTGCCCTTCCGAACACAAAGTCTTCGAGCAACCATGAGTGTGGAATCTTCCAACTGCACGACGAGTATGCTGCGCGGCCACATGTGCCAGGTCCAAGAGTGGAACGCGGCTCATCCGTGAATGCTGGGGGCACTGACGTCGGAAGTACTCTGCTTGCAGAGACCAACAGGGACCACTGCTTGATCTCCCGCAAAGCCCGGGGGTTCGGCTGCCGCACACCTTGCGATTGCCGCCCTCACGAAAAAAAGTGGTGGGACGTGGCACGGCCCAGCACGGCGCAGCATAGCAATGGCGAGCTTGAACCTGTCTTGCAGTTGCAGGAGATGATCGATACCCTGGAGCAGAAGAATCGCGATGAGACGGGCAAGAAGGCTGACTGGCCTTGGCTGTTAGGACATCTGAGCCAGTGACACTGCTGTCGAAGTCAGGTTTTGCTGCCATGCAGAAACCCAAACGCTGTCTCAACCGTTGCTGCTATCCACACGACTTGACCGCTCTTAGAGCCCATCCCGAACTCCGGTACGTCCCTGCCCGCACGCAGGCCTTCTGCGATCAGGCAGGATGCGAGTCGCGACTTCGACTGGTAGGGTGGTAGGGTGCCGCTTTCTGTGACATCCCGGCACACTGCAGTTTCAAAGCTTGTCATGAACAAATCGTTGCTGAGCCCACATGCCTCAGTTGAGTCCGTCGAGTGGCAGGAAATGAAGCATACAAAGACGGCCTTGGACGAGAGGGAGGAGATTGACTCACTTTAAAGGGTTTAGGGGCGCGGGCAGCCCGCAGCGCCTTGCGACCGGACGGACGGAGCTCACGCAGGATGAAGCGAAGAGAAAGCAGGCAGCCGTGGAGCTGGCATCCTCCCAGGCGTCCCGCTGGGCTGAGTGGAGGGCTCAAGCGGCTCCACAGTGCTGAGAATCTCCAGCCAGGTGGCGCAGCTCCGCCAGGAGCTGGCGACCCTAGCAGATGAGCCGCACGCCGCAGTTCTTGTGGGCTCTATTCTCTTTTTCAAAAGGTGTACCCAACGTCTTTTTATCGAGTACTTTGCGCAGTTGATCCTTCTCTCTTCATGTTTGCGCAGTGAATTCGTGAGCTCCTCTCGACCCTTCTCTGACAAGGCTTGGCCAGATTGCAGCAAGTGACCAAGAGCTGACCAAAATGCGAGAGGCCCCCTGGACACGGCGTTTGGGCACCACGTGCTAAGAGATTTGGGTAGTTGTCACAAAAAGCACAAAAACCTCACACCTGGACAGGCAGAGCACGAGGAGCACGTGAAAGTTGCTTGGACGAGCAGACATCTTCCACTTTTGCCAGCTTCGGGGACCGTTTGTGTCAAGATGCAGTGACCGAGTATTGACAGGGGGTTGCGTCGTGTCTCAAATTCCTACGCAAAGGACCCAAACGACGCATGCAAAGCATATGTTCTCTTGGACTGCAAGTTCTTGCAAACATTGCTCGCACCTGGACAGCACAACAACTCGAGGCTGTGAAGCACTGTGAAGTTTCCTGGTATGTCCGGGACTGCGTGTGCTCCCGAGGCTTATAAAGACCTGCAGCTAGGCGTGGCTGGAGTGCAGGCCGCGATCAAGGCCAGTCAGAAAAGACAGCCAGTCATCTCTTGCCGTCAGCTCTGGCCTGTGTATCGGCCGTGCAGGCGTTGCGAGACTACTACTCGCAGGACCGCCAGCCTGTCAGCGTCGACATGGCAGCCGGGAGCTTGGAGCAAAATCGCACATTGACGGAAGCCGAAGGGTTTTTGACACACTTCTCTGAGAAACATTGTTCAGGCATCCATGGCTCTCGCTGCTGAGGGGCGGGCACCGCGGCTTACGGAGGCCATCGTGCTGCTGCCATTTCGTGAGCTTGTTGGCCGCCTCACATCCTTCACAGACGGCGGTCCCCCTCACACAAGTTTTTCAGGTTGAAGCTTCTACAGCTGGTGCCGAGCGCTCGCATCGATCTTGTTCGAAGTCCGTCGCTCCACTATGTGAGCCTTAGGCAGGCGTCATCAGTCTACTGGAGGCCAATCCATTTCGCCCTAGAGTGGGGCTGTTGTGGAGAAGCGAAGGTCGTTGAGTCCAACTTTGCGCGGAACATGGCCGACCTTCAGTCACAGGAGCTGTGCAGAGCTTCTGATACAACGCATCTGTTGAGAGCCGCTCTGGCACAGGATCGCAATGCCCAGGAGAACTACGACCAGATGATTCGTGAAAGCCAGGCGGGTGCGGCAGGGCAGCGAGTGTGTGTGTGTGTGTGTGTGAAAAGCCATGTGGTAAAACGCGACCTCCTGCCTGTCGTTTGTTGTACCAATGTAGCTAATAGTACGAGTACTGGCCCAAATTATCTACTATTAGTATCTATCTATCTAACTATCAATAATCTATCTATCAATAATCTATCTGTCTGTCTGTCTATCTATCTATCTATCTATATACACATGTATGCGTATATGTGTATGTACATGTGTACTTGTGTTAACGCGTATATGTGGTTTTGTGTATATAATACCTTGCGCACATAATATGTGTGTATGTATATATGTATGTATGTATATACGTATACACTATGTATGTATGTATGTATGCATGTATATACACTTTGTATACATGTATACACTTTGTGTATATGTATACAGAGTGTTTATATGTATACACTAATGATGTGTCTATGTATACAGTTTGCACAGATGTAGTAAGTATTTTTATATGTGCAGAGCGGTGAGCCACTCTGCCCGTGTGCAGTCCTGCACTGTGCAAGCGCTGTCTGTGTGTATGACACGGGCCAGCACTCCTATGCCCTGCAATTGCAAGGGTGTTCGTACCCATAAGCAGTCAATCAATCAACCAATCTATATATATATATATATGCTACCCCCCCCTCATGGATCTACCGTTTTCGTGTGTTTGAGTTTGCAAGCCGGATGCAGAAGACATGAAGATTTGTTGGGATTGCATCACGTGAGCAATGCATGAAGCAGACACGACAGCAGAGTTTTTTTTTTTGCAGCAGTAAGGAGGTTGCGGGTGCGAGGCGAGTGTTGGACGGTCGTAGTGTTCGCTGTGCTTAAAATGATTGAAGGAAGGGCCCTAGCAGCCATGATGACGCTTGTTCAGCACCCAGGCTTGCTGACGATGCCACGCATGTACTCTTCCAACAGCTGGCCTGTGCAGAGCCACAGATCGTCGTTGCGGTGCCAATACTCATATTGGGCACTGCGGATCTGGGCTGCCAGCTGTTTGGAGGAGGCTTTACCATGCTGATTGAGGCCATATATATATATATATATATATGATCCAACATGTATATATGTAGCTATGTATGTATTTATGTATACGTATGTATGTGTGTATGTATGTATTGTATGTATGCAGTATATTTATAGGTACGTCGTGCGTTTACACGTGCATATAGCTTTTATACGTGTGCATGTGTACATATGTATGTATGTGAGTACGTACGTATGTATGTATGTATCTATGTACGTATGATTACGTATGTATGCATGTATGTATGTGTAAATGAGTACATCTATGAATGTATATGTGGAAGTTCATAGAGTTTGAGACAATCATGTGTACTTACATTGTTATTCGTCATATGTGTTTCTGTTTAGACAGTTGAATCAATATCTATATATATATATATATACAAACAGTAAACATATGGATAGTTCAACAATAAACAAGCCGATAAGTAAACACCGACGCACACACAGACACACACACACACCCACCCACCCACCCACCCACCCACCCACCCACCCACCCACCCACGCACGCACGCACGCACGGACGCACGCACGCACGCACGCACGCACGCACGCACGCACGCACGCACGCACGCACGCACGCACGCACGCACGCACACGCACACACACGCACACACACGCACACACACGCACACACACGCACACGCACACACACGCACACACACGCACACACACGCACACACACACACACGCACACACGCACACACACGCACACACAAGCACACACACGCACACACACGCACACACACGCGCGCACACACGCACACATGCATGTATGTATGTCAACCTATATCGTTTGGATTCTGTATCGTTTGAGTTATGCATGAGGACACGCCATGCGATGCCATGCGTAGTTCCAAGGAGTTGAGGTCTAGTTCAAATGTAGCTAGTGTCTTTACAGACAGGTAGGTAGGTAGTAGGTATGTAGGCAAGTAGAAAAGAGTTACATGAACAAATGAGTAGACAAACCAATGTGTTCGTAGATAGATGTAGAGAGAGATAGACAGGTACTTCCAGGCCAGAAGAATCCGCTCACTCGACTAGGACGTTACATTGCTGCACGAGGTGTACAGCGAATCGTGCTAGCTTTGAATAGAACGCGTCATGCAACCATGTTCCAATGCAGATCACGGCATCGGCTTGTGCGAAGGTGCTCAAGGCACAGAAAGATGCCGACGTCAAGCACAAGACAACAGAGGCAGCTGATGCGTGCATTTGACAAGATCATGTTTCGACCCGTTGCCTTCGTAGCCGGCAGTCATGCGCGTTAGTTCAACGACCTGCCCTCGAAGTTCGTGCCTGCGGCGTCTGACTTTGTTTTGCGTACCGTCAATTCTGTCCAGCTTTCGCCGTTTGGGAGTTACCAGCCGATGATTCGTAAGATAGGGCAGGTCACGGCACTCCTACTTGTACCGCTTGAAAGCTGTGTGAAGCTGTCCTTCCTATCACTGTTGCATCTGTTGCGCAGCTACAGAGCAGCCTCTGTTGCCCTGCAAACGCAAAATTGGTGGCATCCACAGGCAGTCAATCAATCAATCACTCAGTCATCATCATCGATCAATCATTCGGATCATTGCTTGGCAGTAACTCTTGCAAGTGCCATGCCAGTGGTCCAGTATATTGCCCGTGCCATCTGCTCCTGTTGCCTCTTCTGACCTTTCTTGCGGGTTGCTAGGGTGTGACCCTACGTCGTGACGTGGCACTTCTGACGCACCTCCGCCCTCCCTCCTGTGCTGTATGTAGGCCACGAACCTCGAGCGCAGCGTGACTGAATTACGGTGCCTGTCTCAGGGTGGGGAGTGCGTGAGCGCCGTGTGTCTGATCATGGCACCATAGAATACCCGAGGTCAGACTCAGCTTCTGCACAGCAGCAGTTTGAAGCGGTGACCGAGTGCGCGGGCACCGGTAAAACCAATGGCCTCAAATTGCGATGCCTTTCGGTCTTTGACTGTCTTTGGATTAGCCATCTCGCTCTAGGTACCTGGCAAAGCTCAAGGATGAGTGCACCGCCAAGGCCTTCTGATTGTTGCTGCATCTTAGAACAGAGGATGGCATCAGCCTATTAGTGAAAGTTTGGAGGTTGAAACACGAGAAGAACGTATTGCTCGACGAGCCAAGGAGATGGAAGGCAGGCGGTGCCACTTCAGACTCTCTGGCTGCTTCGGGCTTCTCCACAGGTCTCCAGGAGGCACTTTCCATCTTGGAGGCACGGTGAGCACACGCAACCAACTCGTGGATGACAAGCAAGATAGTGGAAAAGACGATGCGAGAAGCCGTTTTCGGCGATCTCGGCACACCTGGGAGCATCGACAAGTTTCACCCAGTGCGGCTTGTAGTGCCGATTGTCGCTTTGATAGCCGGTGCTGCATCAGAAACGGGCGCAAGGATGACGTCGTCTGCGAAGTGTTCATTCGTGAATGTAGAATGGTAGTGGAGACTGGGCCTTTGTGCTCAGAGTGCCTAGGCTTCACAGATTTGAGCTTCCGAGTCAACCTTGCTCACATCGGAGCCCTCGCATTCTACTAAGTCCGGAGGAGAGAGACGGTTAAAGCCTTAAAAGCATGGACGGAGAAGCTTCCCCTTCCCCTTCTCGGTGCCATTGCGCTCCATGCCCTGGCGGAGACCGAGTGCCGAAAAATCCGGCAACGGCCGTCGGGATCTCAGAGGCGTAGGAAAAGAGGTGTCCCACCATGTCGCACCCCTCCCACTCGTCTCTTCGCCAGGCGCAGAAAGACGAGCGGCACTGAGAGTCCTCACCCAAGGCCTAAGGCATTGAGAACCGCCACTTGGTCTCTCAGGTTGGGACGAGAATTGGGAAGGCAAAGACTGGAAGGCTCTCCGGTGGTACTCGCTTGGTTACATGCTGATGTGTATTGCGGCTGGCTTTCATGTAGTGTTCGAGCGAATGGCACAGTCAGCTACTGTAGTGGCTTGCATCCCGCAGCTCTCCAGGCAAGAACATGGACGAGCAAAGAGGCATGGATGTTCATCCTTCTCTTCGGCTGCAGCAACTTCCTACAAGCTATGCAGGCGAAAAAGGAAAAGGCCGACCGCACATTACTCAGACGGGTCGCACACTTGTGCATTCACCCTGCGCCGCCCATCCGGATCCTCACCCCTGTGTGGTGTTTTCAGACAGGTTCGACGGACAAAGACTCCGACCAGGCACGGGAGACCCACTGCTGACGAATCCGCCAAAAGAGAAATGTCAGGACGACTTTGCCACCATGCCGCGTTGGTTGTCCAGTCTCTCCTTAGCCTTAGTCTGGCATGGCCTCGAGAAAACACCAGAAGGGGCTCGCATTGGTTACATGATATTGACGGGAACGACATATTTGACCATTCTTGGCTGGAGAGTTGTTTGTGGATGTCCAGCATCCAGAGTTGGTTGGAATGTGTGCTACTCCTGGACAAGCTTGCTTCAGGCTCGGCCCAGCGGTAGGAAAGCAAAAAGCGCGGCTCCTGGTGGCTTTGATCAGTATACCTGACCGGCCTGTCAGGTTTTTTTTCTCCAGACTGCTTGTCGTAGCGTTGTTTTTTCATGCCCGGTGTAAGATGCGGAAAGGTAGCCTCCTGAAACAGCGTGCATACGAGATTATGGGGTGGTTCGAGAGCTTCCGGCCTGGCAGAGTGCAGTCTTATCAGAGTTGTTGAATATGCTGCAGAGGCTTAGGGAGTTTCGGGAGGAAGCAGCGGAGTGAGATGCTCCCATGAGAATATGGAGGGGAATTCATTGCGCAACTGTGGCCTGCGTTTCTTCCCCTCGGGGTGATTCGTGGTGTTTTGGCTTGGGTTTTGGCCAGACTGTTGTCAGCGATGAAAAGACTGGCCGAACGGACCTACCCCTTCGATACAGATCACAGAGATGCTGGGATCCACTTTGCAAGGTCACGCTGCGGAGACGGAAACTGTGACGCCGCCGGAGTCCCAAGTGCATTCCTATGTGCTGCTGGCTTGCCAAGTGCAACCGAATCCTAAGAGCCAATCCTAAGAACTGTATGCTTGGATCTTGGTGTTCGATGCTGTCCGAAGATCTACGATAGGTCCAAGCCCGCCGCACGAGGCTCGAATTCTTTCACTTTCTTCAGGAGTCTCTGAACCAAAGATGATGTTGTTTTTGTGGCTTGTATTTGTTTGGTTGGTTATGTGTTCGTTTCTTGTTGGTTTGTTAGTTGTCTGTTCGACATTTGCTTTTGTTAGTTTCGCCAGTGGGTTGGTTGATTTTTGTGGTAGTTCTGGGTGCTGTTGCAGCTGCTGCTGCTGCTGCTGTTGTTGTTGCTGTTGCTGCCGCTGCTGCTGCTGCCCTTTTTTTGTGACTGCTTCGTGCTTACGGGGTTGTTGCAGAGGTATTACCTATCGTGATGGTGGGTTTTCTTGGAGATTGTAGGATCTGTATCTTTGCCGTACGCTCCGTTCTAAGTACGTCCTCGTGGATTACGATTCGGAGGAGACGGGTCTTCTCAGATTCCACATCAAGCCGCATTTACACGCTCAGATATCATATGGTTGCATATATATATATATATACATACATGCTTCTACACACACACACACACCTAAACACATATGTGTATACAAACATACACGTACATCTAGACGAACTCGTACATCTAGACTCTGGACGAACTCTGTATCCAAAGCTTCGTGGTTGGGGCCACATATCACTTCAACCCTAGCATTCAGGCGTCAGTCACAGACTTTGCGTACTGCCCTGCCAGTTGAGCTTGTGCCCAGCCTGGTGCAGTCGCTGCCCACGCTGCTCGATTGCAGACAGATGCCTTGCACACATTAGAGTGACTGAGCCAAGATGGCAGGACAGTTGCTATCTGACTACAAGATGCCAACTAGAACAGTGAGAGCTGCTGACAATTTCACTTGTTGCCTCTATGGGGTGCTTGTCCGTGTGGCAGCACATTTGTGTTTCTGGCTTTTGCTCTGCTGCGCACGTTCATCATCGAGGGTTTGAGGCCATGCACAGGCCAGATGTTGTTTGACGGTCATATCTGCGCATAGTAAACATTGCCATTGCCGTGTAGATCTCACGTGACGAATTATTGTGTACTGTGAGAGGCTTCGGCTCAGACTCACCTGGCGGAGGGTTTTAGTATAGTCTGTCGCGTGCTCCAAGAGCTGCAATGCTGGAGCTGGATGGAAATCCACAGGCGGGGCAGCTTGAGGGCCTGAAGGTCCAATGTTTGATCTTGTTTTCGGATGTTTTAGGTGGCTGCCACGGTAACATTCCTACCACCAATAATCTTCAATAATCAACCACCGGGAAGACTCAACTGAATCTCAACCTTGTGACCATGAACTTGTCAAGTGCGTCTTCTCGCGTCGTTCGCTCAAAGCCGCAAGTGTAGCTCCATCAGTTCTGCCGAACGCGCCTGTACAAACCGTTGCTCGATAATGCTTGTTTCGTCTGCATAGCCGCATGAAGGAGACGATCAACGCCGTCTCTGTCTGCCTTGTCATTGGGCTCGTGGGAGTGCCCGTGGCTTCGCAAGCTGCCGCGACGACGCTCGAATGCGCTGAGCCCTTTCTTGATGCACTTCCGTGGTCACAAGCTTTCTCTCATCTCTCAGAGTCACACAGAAACAGCCCAGGATATGGAACCGATTTCGGTACAAAAAGGATAGCCAGGCTGGGAAATCCCATGGCGAGGCCATCCGCGCAGCGCAGACGTTTTGGCTTGGTTTTAGGACCAGTTCGAGATTGACTAGCAACACTTGGAGAGTCACGAAGAGCAGCAGAGAGCCATCTTAGCGAAGAACATTCGGAAGGTGGATCCGGGCAGCAGCTGCTTTGCCGCAGTATGAGGTGGTTTTGCAGTGGCTGAGACGATCGTACCGGCACAGTAAGGGATGAAGTTCACGCTTCCATCCGCAGCACGGGCACTTGCATAGTTGCAAGAAGGAGCCTTGCATCAGTCACTCGCCACCGGCGACTCTTCACAGAGCCCACTTCGAAACGCAGCTTCGGGCTGCTTGAGAGTTGGCCCACGGTCGAATGTTGTTGGTCATCCGCTTACGACCAACAAACAATACCAAGGGGTCAGTCAGTCAGTGTGTCCCACCTCGAAAGTAAGACATGAGAGGATCAGAATAGCGGAGCAGCGGAGATATTTACAGCAAGCCGGACTTCCAGAAATAAGCGTCGGCAGTATTTTGGGCAAGTTAGGGCTACGTTGCTGCCGCATGGTCGTGACTGCCTCCATGGGCATGATGCTCACAAGGCAGACCGGCTGCGTGGGTGGTGTCCTTGCTCATCTACAGACACTCGCTTGAAGCTATTTCGAGACCATGATTGGTTTACTGCGAAAGTGCCCTATGTCGAAGGATTTAGGGCCGCTGTGGCTGCACGATGCAAAACTTACCCCCTTCCTTGCAGCACTTTCCAAACCGAATCTGAGGCTACTTATTGCTGATTCCGGCATTGTGCATGACTCTCTTTAACATGATGATCGGAGCCGTGGATGCCGTCGTTGCAGACTCAGATGTCTCAAAGCTTCCTGCCATCGAGGTGTCCGCACGAGCTTGAAGTGACACTGACTGTACCATGTATAAGGTCTTGGAAGCCAAATCTGAGAGTACCTTCGGCCTCGTCAGCCTGCTTGCTGAGACCGGCTCTTGGACAGGAGCTGTGCCGTGGAATGAATCATGTCTTTCGTTTTTGCTGACGACGCCTGGTGTGCGTGCTGTACGTCCTCTCACATATCTGGGGTGGGGGGGTGGGGGGGGGGGGACTAATTCCGGCCAGTCCCGACCCTTAACTCCCAGAACTGCGGACTTCTGTCGCAGGCAGGCCCAAGCTCTATAGTTCTGATCGAAGCCATGTTGCCTTAGGGTCATATGCCGAACACACCAGTAATTACGGTGTGTTCGGCACTTGCTACAACCCACGTCGCCCAAACCATCCATGGGTGGACTTGTTATTGACGCAGAGCATCCATGGGTCAACCATGTTAACGTCCACTCAGACCAGATTTCATTGACGCAGAACATCCATGGGTCAACCATATTAACGTCCACGCAGACCAAGTTTGCGCAGCGCGGTGCTCGCAAAAGTGGCTTTTACTGCAGCGCCATCACCTTTTTCGCAAAAACGATCGACCTGTCACAGGGATTCTCCGCCTTTCCCAGCACAACTTTTTAGTCATAATACTTGTTTTCATATGTTTTCCCTAGGTTTTAAGCACATTGCCTGTTTCAGCTACGCCACAAAACGCCGGTCACGTACCAGGCGTCGTTACCTCGTTTTTCTGCATAGCGCACTCCATGTCTACGTCTACGCTGTGTGCTGAGGCGCTCAGGGTGGCTGTGACTGTGAGCTTGTTGGGACTTGTCTTGTCACTTGCTCAGGTCCTGGTCACCATTTTCGCCATAGTAATCCCCCTGCTGAAGCTGTACCTCTTGCTTCACGCAGAATGTATCCGACGCAGCAAGGATGCTTCGGTGTGCTTTGCAGCTAGCTCTGTCGAGAGAGCAGATGGTCGAAAGCTGCTGGCTGTTCGTGTCATCATTAGCTCTAAGCTTCCAGATGCCTCCAGGCCCTAGGCCTTGGGCATGAGCAGGATGTGCGGCAAGTCTCTCGGGCCCGACACTATATCGGTTTTGACGCCCGGCTGCGTCAGGACATGTCTGATGAACGCTGTTGAACAGTTTCAGGGCTCGTGTGGCCTCGCGACTCTGTTCGAGAGGGTACTCCAATTGATCAGCGCGATTGATTGTACTCCAAAGAGAGAGTTTGCAGTAATGCTGACACTGTGTTGCAGAGAGGAGAATAGTGAAGAGTGATTGATTAATTGATTGGTATTATTTGCAAAGGTTCACTGAAGCTTGAATGGAGGAAGTTGAGATGAGAGTAGCCTGCTCGTTTGCATCTCTGAGCCTTTGCAGGATTCAAGTACTAGTCTTTCTTGAACCTTGATTTTCAATTGAGGTTCAAGTGATCTCCAAGTGGGCATGCCCGGACATGATTGCCTACATTTTCCTTCTTTACTTGGTGCGGCACTTGAACCGACCACCCATCAATGGCCTCTTCACGCTGGACATCGGATTTGCATGCTATACGCTGTTCTGTTGGGGGTCAACCATCTCATCGCAGCTTGGACATCTTGAAAGCCTTCGTTGGTTGTTGAGCTCTACAAGTTGCGGCTGATGCTTCTTTCTCATCATTGAACGGTTTCGCGTGCCTCTTGATCTTCGAAACTCAGGTTGGGTATTCACCCACCCAGGCTGCCAGATGAGTCCCGCAAGATGGAGCTGCGCTCGCCAGCTGACCCTTTCACCATCAAGATATTCGGAAAGAAAGGCGATGCAACAACAAGTGCAGTCCGATCTTATGAGTCGGCGGAAATGAGCAGACGTGTGAAACCGAACAGTGATCCCCGTGAGGAGCTGCGGCTCTCATGCTGTTGCTGTTCATGATCTTTGCAGTGCTTTTCATCTTGGGGATGAGGTGGCCGAGTCCTCAGACGTGTCAGGGCGGCTTGCGGCGTTCCTTCCTTTGGTTTCCAGCACCCTTCCTCCCGTAGGCCAGTGCTGGGGCTTCGCCTCGATGCGAAGATTCTGAAGCAGAACGGGCTCCCGCCGTGGCAGATCCGTGCGGGCCCCGGACCCGGACGCGATGTCCATCCTCGTGTGGGCCGTGGGTGCGCTGGAGAAGGTGGTGGGCTTGCGATGTCTTGCAGAGATTCTGGTAGTGCAGCTGTCTTTCTTGCGCAAAGGTGTCATGGAGGACATGCACGTAGCAGAGTCCCTTGGCATGCACCTTCTCCGTCGGCTGTCACTAGTCGGAAACCCATAGCCTGCCAGGCATGCCAAAGCCGATGTGACGATCTTTCAGTGCCTGCAGCAACTGGCAGATTTCCAGGCCGAAGCCTTTGACACTTGGCTCTGCGCCCAAGCCATTAGAACGAAATTCTTGCAGCGAGCTCATGAGAGTTTACCTCGTCCGAGGATGCCAGTGCGCTTCTCGCAATCATCATGCTCGCCGTGTTTGTGATTGCCCTGCCTGTACTGGATGCTGTGTTGCAACGTAGTGGCTGCTGGGTTGGATCGCAGACTTCCTGTCAGGCTGGTGTAAGCGGACCATATGTGCTGTTCTTTCATCTCGCACTTGGGGGGGTAGGGAGTGGAGGAAGGATTGAGCTCACTGTCGTTTCTTAGCATGATGGCCTTCGAGTTTCTTGATTGAGTGCAGCGGAAGCGCCAGGTGCCTTGCAGCCGTACATTTGTTGACGTTGCGGCGACCTTTTGAAAGACTTATCCCTGGAGGGCTTGTTAGTCTTTATCAGGGTCGACAGAGACAGTCCATAAAGCGCACACAACTACGGCAAGCGCAGCTGGGCACAGCCACAAGCTTCTCACCGCCTTCACTATCGGAGAGGCAACGGGTTTGAGGCTGCAAGCAACTGGTTCTGGGGTCGGGGGGCTTTGAGGTTTAGACTTCGCTGCGGGGTTCAGGAGTTGGGGCTTGGTTGCTATGTTCCAAGACTTTAGGTCCCATCGTGGGTTTCTTCTTTCTGTGAGTTCTCATCAGCTGACAGTGTTCTGTCGTTTTGCAGCGTTTTTCCGCTATGTCTCCGATCAACCGCGGATAGCATCCCTACTCACCCTGCCCTAGTACAGAGCCGCTGTCCTTCAAGCTTCCGATGCTCCGCTGCAACCACTTAGGACATGTTGACGATTGCAATCTCCTCGCTGCGTTTTTTCGTCAGTGATGCAGCTGCGATTGTTCTTGAGGACGTCGGCAACACGTGTACTGGTGACAGTTTGCAGCCACCGCCTTCCTGTGCTCTCACGAAAAACACCATGAGGCATTGTTTGCAAGCAGAGTTGATGCAAAACGTGCCACAATCGTACAGAAGTCCCGGTGTTCAATGGGGTCCAATGGGGGTAGGCTTTGAGAGCTGTCGCAGAGTCCTAGATACAGAAGTTGCCGCGAATTGGATTTGAAGCCGTTCGTGCTCGTCGCAGGAGGCTGGCTTCTCTCTGGTAAAGCTGTCAAGGCGATTGAGAAAGCTGGCAATGTTGGATGCTTCTTGGATGAAGACAAGCGCGTTTCTTTGCCCGCTTTAACTTTGAGATTCTGCCTAGTGTTGAAGATGCTGCATGCTCGCCTGGGCACTGAGGTATTGCTTCTCGGTGTCATTGTCGTCGTTTTGAGTGCTTCCATATATCGCAGCCAAGGCCAGAAAGTTTATTTTGATTGCCTGTGATCGATGATGTTCAGCCGCTACTCAAGACACGATGTTGTTGCAACGGGTGCCATGTGTGCTCGACCCTAAACCCTAAACCCTAAAAATTCTAAACGACTGAGGGTGAGGAACACAGGTGGTCATCCGTTCTGTAGCAGCTTCCAAACCGGAACATGCCCGTTGCACGGGGGCAGGTTTCTTTCTCACTCGTCTTGCTCAAGCTGACATGTGCACGTGGGGACTTGGTTTAGCTTAGATGGGGTAGGTGATCGCTCAAAGCACAAGCAGCAGTGGGAGAATTTGCCCGACACCCCAATGCACAATTGGCAGGCATGGTCTTATTCCCAGGATGGGGCCTTCTGGTCCTCACTGGTGCTGAGTTACTGGGCCGCGTCAATGCCGCCGCGCGCGGTTCTTTGCCTTTTGCACAGCTCCGAGGTTGGCGCACTATGCTGCCGGCTGGGCACTCTGGGGCCTGAGTGTGACCCGGCATGTAGCATTCCGTCTGAGCGTCTGAAAGATCCAAAGACTTGCATCGCAAGCAGTCTAAGCAGAGATTCGCGACGTGTCCGGTAACGGTAACAGACCCCATGTGCAACGAGTCTGCTTGGGGGAGGTGCTTAGGGTCCTTCCGCCGGCAGCTACAGGGTCTGCAAACGGCGGCTGAGGTGGTGCGGCCACCTGCTTTCGAGGCGAAAGCCCTGGACCACCCATCATCTGGGACCGAAACCACTCTGGAAGAAGTACCTCGCTTCTAAACTCAGCAGTCTTGGTGCCACATCGTATGATGCAGGGCTGTGGCATGTTCGCTGCAGTCTGAAGGACTGACGAGTGATAACCTGCTACACCCGCCATTTGCTTTCGATATCGTCGTCTCGAGACATCGATGTTGATGAGTGGGAGTCCTTGCTTGTGTAGTAGCGGAGGTGACAGACGACAGTGACTCCACAGAATATTCACTTTGAGCCTTGCGAGCCATTGCTGAATGAACCTTGTAGAGTGTATGGTCATGCGATGGCTACCAGAGCCTCTGCGCGAGCAGTGAATTTGTAAATTGTTTACTTTTGGTGCATGGGCAGACTTGGATGCAGGGATGTCACAAAGCACCCTCCACGTCTGCAAGACCGAAGCGCTCGGCGTTCCTCCTCTTTGCCTCTGCCTGTGAGAGGGGCTCGGTTCAGCTTCGGCATGAGAGAGGTTTGCCGTGAGGGAGAAGTGGGCTCTACTGACCGTAGAAGGCAAGGCCGAGACATGCCGAGCCCCTCGGCTAACGCTGAGACTTTAATCCTCGCAAGCGGGCTTGGGCTGTAGTCGCCCTACGAGCGGGGCAGTTTGCCTGACAGAGTTCAGGCGCTGCTTGAATTCGTTTGCAATTGCTGTACACCATGCCTTTGCGGCTACATGTTCTAGCTGCTGTCGAGTCCAGGATTCTCGACTCGAAAATTCCTGGGCGACATGGCCATGAAGTGAACAGCTTTGTCACAACGCTTGCATGTTCAATGCCGTCTGCACCGTCACGGCTGACAGAAGCACCAAGTCTTCTGAAAGTTCTGTCGCAAGGAGGGCGAGGCCGAAAAACTCTGTCTTCTGTTTAGCCTTCGATCAGTATTTATTCTTCGGTAGTTATACTGGGGCTGTGCCAAGTGATGCACGACTTTCAGGTCCACAGTTTGTGGTGTCGCAGCGAGCGGCATGCTTTGGAGTTGCTTGGGCCTTGCCCCATGGGCATGTGTGGCTCACGAGCAGTATTTGTCCGGGAAGCATTCCCGAGTTGAAGTTCGAGAGACACGTGCGCCACATCGATTCGGCAAACCGGCAAGTGAGATGCCGACGGTATGCAGGCGACGGATCAGAACTGGCTTGCCGTTCCAAACTGCAAGTGCTTTTAGAACTCAAGGGCCAGTCTTGTTCATGTTGAGAAGCTAATCACACCCGTGGTCCGGCCCACTGCAGTTTGAGAAGCTGGGCGTGCCAGTCCAACAGGCCCTGCTCTTGATCAGCAGATGAGAACAGACTTGCTCCCCTCAGGGACTCGTGCCTTCGGTTTAACGGCCGGGTAGATCAGAGCTTCCAGTTGCTGCACAGAACACAACGAGGGCAAGCTTTTCCATTTGCTCGGGAGCTTCCAGCTTCGGTCTTCTGGACATCTAAAGTGGAAGCGGAAGCTTTTTTCTGGGATGCCTTTTTAAAGCGCATATCAACATCTCGAGTCCATTGCACAGTCCTCGAGCCAATCGAGATCAGAGACAGATGCCAAGCCTGTAAAGGTAATCTTCGTCAAACTCCGAAGCGGTCCAGGAAAAACAGCTCCGAAGATATTTGATGCAGACTTTAGCAGGTGCTGTCATCGCATTCGGCACGATCTGAATCGATTTGAGAGCGGCTTGCGTTGATACGCTTGGTCAGCACCACACTCCACAATTCTCAGTCCAGCGTCGGTGGGCATCCAAACACCGCTGCCGGATGTCAGGTTGCAATTGCCCATTGACGAATTTCGAGACAGGCACGCCTTCGGTGACCTGTGGAAGTCGGAAGGTCTGTGTGCAAAATGATTGGGGCTCTTCAGGATTTTGCAACATATACGCGAAAATCGGGTGCTGGCCTCAGCACGGCACCATCGGCCTTCCGTAGGTGAGATGATGAGATGTCTCTAGGTAGGGCTTCCATTCTTTGATATTGTTCATGATGCTCGCACACTGTGTGCGAGCGCGCGCAGGCCTTGACATCGGCGCCTCTAGCTGTTACTGTTACTGCAGGCACCAAGCCCATAGTGTTTCTCGTCCATCATTCAGCAAAGGTGTGACTCCAGCAACTGTTTGCTGGCGCTACGATTTGAGCCATCTGTACCTGGTGCGTTGTCGTGCTGGAGCAGACATTGAAACTGCTCGTATTCAAGAGCGGTCTCTGGCTAATTATCTTCAGTCGTTCATCTAAATCGACGGATCATGCATTGTAGGGCCTGTAGGGAGAACTAGTGCGAACCTATCCACGAGACTCTGCGCAACGCACCAGCTGGAGCATGGCTGTTCGTGCCGAGTGCCCGTCACCATTGAGTGGTCTTGTCGTGTAGTGGCTGGCTAGGCATTTTGCCGAGAATGACAACTTTTGCGGCGTGTTGTTTCGGCTGTTCTCACGAACAACATCGTCACCTCAAGGGGAATCGACGAATCCTTTGAAAAAGCGACAACCAGACTGCAGGGTTCTGCTCGGTCCTTGGAGGAGCGCAGAATCTCTGCAGGTCACCCATATCCAGGGAGAGACTGGCTGCGGCAAGTCTACTCGTCTGCCACAATTTATCCTCGAGGCCGGCAAACTGCACCTTTTCAAGTCCAGTGACAAACCCGACTGAAGGATGCCAAGCAAAGAGGAGAGGAGTATGAAGCTCAGTAATCGACAGCGTTTCATGAGGCGTTGTTCAATCGTTCGAGCTTTTCCTTCACCGAGGGTTCGCATGGTAGTGACACAGCCAAGGCCGCCTTTGCTTAACAAGGGGGAAGGTTGCTCGTATGCTCTCCGACGGCTTTGTTCAAGAGGCGGATGGCCGCTGTGACGTGTGGGCCTTACTAGGCGGTGAGTGGCCTAGCAGAGGGCAAAGCAACTGCTCCTGCGACAAACAGCCTACAGAAGTCGTAGTGCTTCACGCATCTTTGTCCGATCTTTGCGACGTGAGGCTAGCAAAGCGTGTCGCCTCCGTTCTCGGCGAGGAGCAGACTGAAAACCTATCCGAATATGTGTCCAAGACACAGTGGGACGTATTCGTATGTGTTCGTTGCATTCTGTTCATCCGGTTCCAGGTTGCTTTCAGGTCTGGTATGGTCTGGAAGGAAAGAGGGTGCAAGTACTCTTGGCATGCCTGCTTCAGGAGATTGGACAGGGAACCGTTGGTTACAGGATCAGGCCGCGAGCTTACAGTCCTGAACATTCTCCTCTCCGTTCCGTAGCCTGCCGACAATTTACAGTCGCGGATCCAAGCATGGCTTGTGTTTGCCAGTGGTGACACCATCAACGGCAAGCTATGTTTCGTGACGGTGGGATACCTCTTGCAGAGACTGGTCAACAACCCCGAGGACACAGCTCCGAGTGTGGTGCAGAGATGCTGGCGGATACGCGTTGCAGCACGTTGCGAGGATTATCAGCGCTACACGCACGTGGTCTTAGACGAGGCAGAGACAGCTTAGACTGGTGACATTCTTCGAGTTGGATTCTCGCTGACAGCATTGGAGACTGAAGGTGCACGAGCGCGGTGTGGACGCTGACCTCCTTTCCCTGGTCATCAAGCTGTTAATGCAGCATCCAAAGTCACACCTCCGAAAGCTCTTTGACTGCTGTCTACGGAAGCTGCTTTGAGGCACTGTTGCCCCACCGTGAAACTTGTTGTGATGTCAGCAACCCTTCAAGTGTCGAACTCAGACGGTTGCGGCATCAATGACTGAGTTTCAGAGCGCCAGGCACGAAGACAGGAGTGAACATGGTTGTTCAGAAACAAGGGTTCCCACAAGTGCAAATTGGCAAGTTCGACCCTGCTGGGTTCTTCAACCTGAAATTTAAAACGAACCTCATAGAGCCCTCCCTGCGAACACTGCGAAGACCTGGCTTCTGCCGAGCCTTTGAGGCCACGCTTTTCGCCGACTATTTTTCATCGCTCCATCCTGGGAGACGGCCTGGACCCCAGGCTCTTGCCAAGGACCCCTTCCTGGTTCCCTGCCCTACCACTGCAAGGTCTCCGGAGGTGCTGGCAGTTGGTGCGCGATGCCATCCGGTTGAGCAGCTTTTCCTGGATGACTTGCAGCAGCAGCTGGAGCCTGAGAGTTCACATCAGCTCGACCTGCACTTCGTAGCCCACAGTGCGGGCAGACATTCTTCTCGTAACAGCAGCATCGAACCTATATTGATTTCTTGAACTGTAAGCCCTGTCCCGGTTTGCCCCGAGCACCAGCAGTACATAGCAACGATGAATTCCAACAGATCATCACCCTCAGCGTCCTCGTCATCTCGTTATAGTCGTCATCATCATCATCATCATCTCGTCCTCGTCCTCGTCCTCGTCGTCCTCGTCGTCCTCGTCGTCCTCGTCGTCCTCGTCCTCGTCCTCGTCGTCATCGTCATCGTCTTAGTCTTCAACAGCGCCGGCAGCAGTATTACCAGCATGAGAGCGAGCATCTCCATGTTCTCCACACATCGTGAAGAATCATGGCCGTCCTGCGAACATTGATGTGACTACCATCAGCCCACAAGTTTCATGGCTGCGAACAGCTACGGACGGTATTTCCATTCGCAACCGCAAGTCGTCAGGAAGCTGCAGAGGGCTAAACCTGTCAACATCGTTTCAACGAGTGTAACATTTTTAGGTGTGTGTTCCGAGCGGTGTTTCTGCAATCTTCAGCTCTTCTACTGAGTTTCGACTTCAGTGACCAGAGAGACCGACGGAGCTTGGAGAATGCCCTGCAGGCAGCGCATGGCGCAACGGGTTTGACTGAAACTACGCTCTGCTCATTCGCCAGGCTTTTGCAGGACTCTCGAAAGGCAGAGGCACGCAAACATGTGAGGATTGATCTACAGGTTCTCGCCTTCGACCTTGTAGGACAATTTTGAATTAGAGGTCAAATCGGTTTCGTGCCGCGCTCGTACGGTGCTGCACAAGTTCCAGGTAAGCATGGTTAAAGTTGTGATAGCCAGATCTGGGCAAGAGCTCAACTACGACCACTGCCACTACCACTACCACTACCATCACCACTACCACTACCACGTGGTAGTGGTAGTGGTAGTGGTGGTTGTGTTAGTAGTAGTAGTAGTAGTAGTAGTAGTAGTAGTAGTAGTAGTAGTAGTAGTAGTAGTAGTAGTCGTAGTAGTAGTAGTAGTAGTAGTAGTGGTAGTGGTCGTAGTAGTAGTGGTCGTAGTGTTGGTGGTAGTGGTAGTGGTAGTGGTAGTGGTAGTGGTAGGGGTCGGGGTAGGGGTAGGGGTAGGGGTAGGGGAAGGGGAAGGGGTAGGGGTAGGGGTAGGGGTGGGTAGGGGTGGGGTCGGGGTCTGGGGAAGGGGTAGGGGTAGGGGTAGGAGGGGTAGGGGTAGGGGTAGGGGTAGGGATAATAGGGGTAGGGGTAGGGGTGGTCGGGGTCGGGGTCGGGGTGGGGGTAGGGGTCGGGGTAGGGGTAGTAGTGGTAGTGGCAGTGGTAGTTGTACCAGAAGCAGGAGCAGAAGCAGTAGTAGGAAGTGCACTACGACTACTACGACTACTACTACTACCACTACCACTACCACCACTACTACTACTACTACTACTACTTACTACTACTGCTACTGCTACTGCTACTGCTACTACTACTGTGACTGAGTAACTACTACTACTGCTACTGCTACTGACTACTACTACTACTACTACTGCTAACTGCTACTGCTACTGCTACTGCTACTGCTACTGCTACTGCTACTGCTACTGCTACTCTTGCTACTGCTACTGCTACTGCTACTGCTACTGCTAACTGCTACTGCTGCTACTGCTACTGCTACTGCTACTGCTACTTGCTACTGCTACTGCTACTGCTACTGCTACTGCTGCTACTACTACTACTACTACTACCACCACCACCACCACCACCACCACCACTACTGCTACTGCTACTGCTACTGCTACTGCTACTGCTACTGCTACTGCTACTACTACTACTGCTACTACCACTACTACTACTACTGCTACTATTAATACGACTGCTACTACCACTACTACTGCCACTACTGCTGCTACTGCCACTACTGCTGCTACTACTACTACTACTACTACTACTACTACTACTGGTTCTGCGGCTACTACAATACAACTACAACTACTACTGCTACTACTACTACTACTACTACTGCTACTACTACTACTACTACTACTCCTACTCCTACTCCTAATCCTACTCCTACTCCTACTCCTACTCCTACTCCTACTCCTACTCCTACTACTCCTACTCCTACTACTACTACTACTACTACTACTACTACTACTACTACCGTTACTGCTGCTGCTAGTGGTACTGCTACAGCTGCTACTACTACTACTGCTACTACTACTACTACTACTACGAATACCGCTACTACCGCTACCACTGCCACTACAGCTACTACTCCTACTACTGGTACTACTGCCAGTACTACTACTACGACGACGACCACGATTACTAATGCTAGTTCTAGTAGTGCTACTACTACTACTACGACGACGACTACTACTACCGGAAGAAGGAATCTGTCGCATCTAATTGCAGAGCTTGTGAGTGTCTTCTGCCAGGCAAAGGCAAAGGCAAAAAGGAGGGTCGCGGAGGCACAGTATGAGCTTCCACTGACAGGACGAGACTCACAGCGAGTGTCGCGAGCTGGTATGGCCTGACTTTGGAGGGATGATGGTTGCATTGCCAGGTGATGAAGCTGGCTTCAAGCGAGTGCCTCCACCGAGTAGATGCAAATGGCGATCACAGTGTGAAAAAACATTTGCCCTTTCTGTGAAGGTGGAGCCGCAAATCTCCGAGGGACTTATGGAGGCCTGCCGCAGCTAGCTTTCTGGATGCTAGGAAGATGGGCTCGAGACGTTCACAAGCGCAGCCCAGGTCAAACAAGCATAAGGAAATGCGCACAAGGATGCAACAAGCATCTAGGATGTGCAAATTGTGGTGATTTATTATGATGGTTTCTTGTAAGGTTGATCTAAGTTCTGTTCGGGACCCAGCAACAGTTTTCCAGTATTGTGCTCGTTTTTGCCAAAGGGCATTTGCCAGTTCAGGACTGTGTAGTGATGTTATTCACTTCCAGCAGAAACTTGCAGTCTCTTTCTCTCAATTCTTGCCCTGCGGCCGGCCCATATGCCGCATGACGAGATGTGGGGACTTCTTGACGGTTCGTGCAGGTTACTTGTACCTTGGTGCAACAGCTGGCCAAGCCAGGTTGTACGGCCTGCGCCTGAACTTTGCTGGGCCTGGTTTAGGGCAGCTGACTTCACCTTCTTGCTGTGCTGTATTCCACCGAGATTATTGTGTTCCTGCCGGGAATTGCAGACATCACCCAGCTCTTCGAGGTGCCTCCGTACACTAGAAGGCCTACATAGTGTGGGGGAGATATCCATGTTAGTCGTGCGCAGTACCTTGTCCGAGGGTGTGCTCTGGGTTTACACTTTACCGTGTCATGCTGCCTCTTGGTCCAAACCAGGACTCGTGTAATCGTGCAATCCCAAGGCACGCAGGAAATGACTGCAAGTGCATGTCCTGACGGCGTTCACCACAGTTTCAGCATCCTTCCATAATATCAGCACCGAGGATCCAGACTCGAGCTGAAAAGACTGAACGTGCTTGGGCCGCTGTTTGCAAGATGGGCCTTAGCCTTCGACTTGTAGCTTGTGCATCGCAGCGTGCCACGCATCGTTCCGCACGATGCAGCGCCGCATGTGTTTTGTTGTGGCATGAAAATGAAAGAGGGGTTCAAGCTTTGCTGTTTTTTGGTGCAGTCCTTGGCGCCTTTGGACGATGTGCGCTCCTTCGGACGGCCCGGCGTCGTGCGACGACCTGACTGCCCCAGGCCTTGCTTTGTGGTGCCTTGCCCCGCACAAGCAGCATTTCTCGTCGCTTGAAAGGCTTCGGATCTTCGCCTTGCACTCCATGGTTCCTCGACAGGAACAGGAGGACCCTGGGCCGTGAGCCCGTCGTGTAGGAGTTTTCCGTGCTTGCCGGAAGGCAGGTTTGAGGCGATGTACACGCTCGTAAAGAACAGATGCCGAACGAGCATTGTGATTTGCGGCTCACAGCGGTTGCCCAGGGCCTAGCTTTCTTGAGCCATACGCAGGAAGTCTTCAACGAAGTGCCCAAGGCCTCTGCCCCAGTTTGGGCGAGAGGGGTATTCATTATTGACTTTCTTTGTTTCTCCTGGGGTGGGGGGGGGGGGTGCAGTTCAGGGTTGGGGGGGTGCAGGGGACTGGAGGCCCAAGTCTTTACGTACAAGTGGGTTTCGAAACTTTTGTTTCAAGGTTTGTTATACATATCATATTGGCTGAAGTGCAAAGTAATATAGAGGTTTACAATTATTCTATGAGAGATTTCATTTAATCGAATCAAATTAATGTCAATGCGGTATGTTGTGTAGGCTAAAGCTCATTCGGTTTTCCACCTGCATATTGCTTCGAAGCCCACTTGCAAGTAAAGACTTGGGTCTCCAGTCCCCTGCCCCCTTGCCGCCACCCTCCGCCACAGCCCCTTAACTGCAACCCCCCCGCAACACCCCTCCTGCCAGGCAAAACAATTGCCAAAGCAATTTTTAGAAAAGTCAGAAACAAGTCCATCCGTTGGGGTGGATGCTGTGCCCTTACAGGCTCTGCTGAGATGTCCTTGGCACAGAGGCGATGGTTCTCAGGCTCTGTAAGTGGCCCCCCCAAGCCATCTACGAACCCAGAGCCAGCCAACAGCTGCTTGGCGCGACTGTTCTGCGGTACCAAGGACAGAGGCCACGTGGTGCTCGCCAGCAACATTGCTGAAAGCTCTTTGACTTTGTCACGCCCCAAGTTTCAAATCTCATGTGCTCTTTTGCACCACACGACACGATGCTCGGTGGTCTACTCGGCAGTGGGAGCGCCATGCGAACTTCTGAGGCCAAGTGTATGTGCAGTTGTGGATCTGGCTCTCAGACGGACCGTGCAGTGCCCTGGCATGGAACATCATCGAACCCGGAGTGCGCAACATCGACACTTTCTGCATGCCCCTGGAAATATGCTGTGCGCTAGAGAAAGACAAAGCAAAGCATCTTGCTATCGAGGTTTGGAGACAGGCGTTCAGGTGGCTGCAGGGTTTACGACATGCGAGGATGACGCTTTTTCGGGAATCCATGCAGAATCCAACAGTTCTTTGGCAAGCAGCTGAGCTCTCAGCTCCAGTGCATTTGGATTGGGCATTTCCGACAGCTGAGATGGAATATCATTTTTCCGATGACCGATGTGCAAGTACAGGTACGACACCCGTCGGCTCATGTGCTGCTTGGTGACCACCTGGTGCTCCCAGAGTTCTTGCAGCCGGGACTTGAACATGCTGATTTAGCGCTGGGTCATATTTGGCTCACCGGGCGCCGCATGCGGCGAAGGGGGGAAAGCAAATAACTACGCTCCAAGGCAATGACCTTGGACCTAGGTGGACATGCTTTCACGCATCTTTAAACGGAAACGCGGTCCCGGGGTCCGTCAGTTTAGTCATCACATGAGGCAAGCAGCGGCGAGGCCGTGCAGGCTCGATGCTCCGCATGACGCTCCGCATGAACGTTCAAGCGAACATTCACTTCGATCACGGTTCGCAGGACGGACAATGCCGGGTCGTGCCCTGTGCCTCGTTCCTCGGCGCTACTTTGAGTCAGAACTGCCCGGCAGCCAAGGATGACCAGCAAGCTGCCTTGAAGAAGCCCAATAAGAATGCAAGCAGAGACCGAGACGGCATGCGAAAGTCTCAAGGCCTGCATTCGACCCTCCCGAGATGCTGAACGCACCTTTGACGAAGCTCTATTTGCAGGCCTGTGCCCCTCATTTGTAGAGCATGCTAATTTTAAGGCTACGCCGCCCGCCTCTTTAGCGGCAGGGCGAGGGGGAGTCGATGTTGTATACATGCTAGGGGGGCCTCGTTGATACCCAAGTGTGAGCAAAACGGGCAAGGAGGGGGGGAGGAGGGGGGGGGGGAGGGGGTGGGGGGGGGGGAGGGGGGGGAGGGGGAGGGGGGGGAGGGGGGGTGGGTGGGTGGGTGGGGAAGGGGGGGAGGCCGACATATCAGGTAAAACGAAAAGAAGCCGGACAGTGGCAAACGAACGCAAAAACAGGGTGTCTCCAAACATTTGGACTGCAGGGAGGAGGATTAGGTGGAGGGTACCTGAGGTATCCCCCAAGACGCCTGGGCCTGTGGCCTCGGCGGATTCATGGACTACTCCGCTTCAACAAGTCACCACAGCTCACAATACAGTGCCTAGACTTTTTTGCAGTTTCCTGGCAGGCAAAGCAGCTCTGTTCGACTTTGTCTCGAGTTTCAGATCGGGTTCAATTGCCGCAGATGGCCCAGAAGCTCGCTCGTCTTCCAAGAGAGTTCACCGGGTTCGTTCATGCATCGGTCGCATAGGCCTGACGTCAACATGGACATCTCCTCTCCGAAGGCATTGCTGAACGAGGCGGGAAGAAGTGTCTTTTCTTTCCCTGGATCTGACTATGGTTGCCGTGGGAGAATTGCCGTGTACTGTCCGGCCACAGGTTGTGCAGCCACCCTCGCTCAGCTTGCTCGACGTTTCATGCTCAGCTCGAGCTTATCCAGTCCCCCATCCTGTTCTGAAGCTCCACAATAGATTCCACAATCCTGGAGACATATCTATCATTCCTTCTCTTTGTGCAGTTTGGGGCGTCGGCAAAAAGGCTGATGCTATGCAGCGAGGACACGAAAACTCAGGCGGCCATCCAAGAGCTGTCTGCGGTGGGCTGCCTGACAATGCCAACGGAGGACTTGTGCGGATCATTGCCGGTTATTGATTGGATGCTGCGGCAGCCATGGAGGGAATCCGTGTATCAGCGCGTTGAGAGGAGGCGGAGATCACACCGCTTGGGCAGATTGCCGTTGTCAGGCTCCCAATGGGCACACTAACTTCCGCGTGCACAACGAACTCAATGTTACTTACGCATCGTTTGGCTCGTGAGCTTCGACAACAGCCTAAAAGGGCCTGCTGTGGAATCGGCTAGCGAATTCGGTTTCTGAGTAGCCGGAGCATGACCTAGGCACTGCCCTGCGATCTTCGCATTTGTCGGCTCCTGTTTCTTGGCTGCTTGTTCGGATGCCATGGCCTGAGCATCCACTCCATGCCGTTCTGTGTGCGACGGTATGCATGGAGACAAAACCATGCACTTACACGGAAGGCGCACACGCACATTCTTGACATCATATCCCGGGATGTAATTGCCAGGTGTTGTCACCCATCCGTGCCGAAATGAACCTAGGCATGAGTTAGTGAGTCAACGGCTGGGCTTGCATCCATGCTTTTATGAACACATCCATGCATATCATGCCATCATACCTCTCACTCGCACACTCGCTCAGTCATTCACAATGTCACTCACCGACTCACACCTCAGGAAAGTTCCTTAGGTCTGTGGTGACATGACCGCGTGGGACCACGTGCAGTTGCATGCACTGCATGCCGTTGCATGCCGTGCCACGGCATGGCGCGGTGCGTCAGATGTGAGCCCTGCAAGGCCCAACGGATGCCGGGCCCTGAGCGGCAAAGACGGCCGCCGGAAGGGCTCTCCGCTCTCCGCTTCGCTTCGCTCTTCGCTTCGCTTCGCTTCGCCGCTTCGCCGAGGCCCTGGCCATGGCCGCCGGGCTCACGGGGCCGGATCCCTTCAGCACCCCGTCGCTTCTGGTCCTCAAGGACGCGGCGTCCACGCGAAGAGCAGCTAGCGGCCTTAGCGGCCTAGCCAGCCACTGCTTTCGAGGACCAGAAAGAGTACGTGCAGAAGTTGGAGCGATCCTTCGCTTCACGGCGATGGTGCGATCACGGGACTGAATCAGCTTCAGCGAATTTCAGCGATCTAGATATGTGCTGTAGGCTGCAATAGCAGCAGTATTTGTCGCAGGGACTGTGTTCTGTCTGTCGTGTTGCTTCTTGGCAGGACGTTCTCTGAGCCGATTATGATGCATTCACTTTTCAAGGAGTGGATTCGTATGAGCCCTGGCGTACTTCCGTACCGTGAGTACAGCAAGACGCCAGCGACACTCGAATTGATTGAAGACCCTCTAATCTTGTGCTATGTGTAGCTTTCTGTGGTGCTCTGTTGCTTTACGTGTTTCTTTTGCCTTCTCTCCGCTTGTGGTTTGTTTGGTTTCGTTATTCTGGGTCTTCACACTATGCATTCCCATGCTAGACTTCCTGTTTTGCCCAGGTGCGGGTGCACCTCGAGGTGCCAAGGCACTTGGCTCATTCGTTCGAGATTGGCAGTGGTCTCAGCTGCCCAGCAGCACCGAATAGTTTCGACAGCTCTTGTCGTTCCTCGCACGTTCCGCACAAGGAAAGAACGACACTTTCCAGTTGGTGGGCGGGTGTGGGGTTGGGGGGGCAGCAGTGGTTCCAACAACAAGACCAACGTGGGGCACTGGTGACAGTTTGAAGGGTGGCATGAGCACAGTTTGCGCCGTCAGTTTCGCTTTCAGGTCCATCATTCCAAAGAAGTTTGAATCGCTCACGGCAGATGCGACCGAGCTGACCGTCCAGCCCTGGGAGCAATGAGTCGTCTCTGCCGGCGTGCTAATGTTGACTTTGCGGCAAGGTCCGGTTCTTGAAGCTTCTGAAGACCGGGCGGCCTCGCAACAATCTGGAGGCACCGAGCGACTGCTCCTGGGAGCCACAGTGTCCGATCGCTGATTCCTTCGATGCTCGTGCCTTTGTTTCCGAAGCTCTTTGTGGCTTGCAGTCACTCGCAGGGCTCCGTCCGCCAATGATCGGGGTATCCAAGTTACTGTACCTTTTTTCAAAAACTCGATAGTGGACCTCAGCATTCTTCAGAAGCACCTTCTAGCTACCTTGCTTTATGCGTGTAAGTGCACGAGAGCCTCAGCCTAAGCATCGTGGCACATCATGACAGCAGAATCCGAAGGGCCATCTGCAGATGCGGAGACGCAGGTGGGGACTTGCTGCAGATCCAAGCTCCTACGAAAGGAATGCGATGCAGGCATCGGTCTCATCGGGCATGCGGCAATTCCTGCTGCCTCTAATCCTGACGCTTGGATGCAGCAAACGGTGGAAACTTTAGATGCAGACAGTTTCGACAAGACTTCGCCCAGGCCTGGCGTGCTGCAGGGAAAGGCACAAACCTTCGTGTCCCCGATGCTTCCACTCTTCGTTGTGGAACTTGGGGGTTCGCACAGCATGGTGGGAACCATTGCCTCAGCCTATGCTGTGGCACAGTTTTTTGGCTCAGCCCCCGCACCTTGGCTCTGCTTTATCAAAACTGTCATGCAACATAGTCAGAGAACAGGGCGATTCGGCCGCGGCGGAGTGCCTTGCAGGTGGGCGTCGTCATGCAGCACCTACATTATGCGACAGCAGCGTGCATGGCCCTCTCTCTGCAGGTCACAACTGCAGTCCTCTCGTTCGTGTCGCAGTCTGTATATATGCTTCTGGGAATCCGGATCGTTGGTGGCATCGGAGCCACTGCTTTCGACATCTCGCGGAAAGCGTACATAGCTGCTGAGGTACCATCTTCAGTTCGTGGACGGGTTGTCGCTTTTCTTGCAAGCTTTCAGAAATGGGCCGTGATGATTTCAGCTTTGCTGAGCGGGATTGTGGCTGAACATATGGCCACTCGGAGCGTTTTCCTTGTGCAGGCTCTTTTGTCCCTCTCTGCCTTGCTTCTCATTGCAGGCCACCGGATAGTCTCCAGGCGAAGGCAGGAAGCTGAGAGTTTTCAAGGCCCCAATGAAGGAACGGCCGCTGTCGCCGCCACGACGAATTCCACGAGAAGTCCCCCGAGACCGCCGATGCAGACTCTGTCCCTCTCCGGGGTTCTCGGCGCTCATTGGCGGTCACTCGTCGGAGCTGGTCTTTACTGCGCAATGCTCACTGGCGTTCGAAACACCTGGATGGTTGCCCTGCCTTTGCGCGGGCACCATATAGGTTTGAGCAAGGTCGGAATTGGAGTTGCCGTTGCGGGCTTTCGGGCGTGCGATGCCAGCGTCACCTTTCTGGCAGCAGGTCACATCATGGACAAGTATGGCCTGAAGGCAGCTGCTATCCCCTCCATGATTTTGATGGGTGCCTCATTTGCGCTACTCTCCACGGTTCGGAATCCTGTGATGCTTGGAGTTGCAGCTGTTGTGGCTGGTGTTGGAAACGGAATTTGCGGCGGCATCGTCAACGCATTTGCCACAGGATTAGCCCCGGCGCATGCGCGTACTCAATTCCTGGGTCTCTGGAAGACGGTCACGGCCACCGGTGGTATCTTGCTCCCCCCGCTCTTTGGCGCTGTTTCCGATGCAACTTCGCTGGACATCGCCGACTTCTGTATTTCTGGTGCTGCATTCTTTGCCGTGGTCTGGATACTTTTGATGGTGCGTGAGATAGCGCCTAAGGCAGTGCGAGAGACACAAGTTACCGTGTCTCTCGCTGCTCCTCCAGTGCCATAGTCAAGTCAACACACGAGCAAGAAAAGGATCTTCGGCAGAAGCTCAAAGCTCAAAATGCAAGCGACGATCCCATCGCCATCGCCTCGGCCCCTAGGAGCTCCTCAGTGCCATGCACCACAAAGTGGACAAGGGAGATGCCTGGCTCTCAGAGACTCAGAGACCCGAGCTCGAGAGCGGGGGGACATTTTGCGAACGGCCTCTGATTGCAGCATTCGCCCTCAAAGAAAGTCAAGCAGATGACCAAGCGGCGACCAAGCACTTCTGCAAAACAGAGCTAGTCTTCCGCGCTGTCTTTCAATCACATGCAACATGATTGGAAGGCAAAGCCAATTCTCTCTCCCGTCTGGTTCCCACGCCTAAGAAACAGCCCCTCCCGCCTCGCCCCTACACGCAGACACAGCACAAGTGAGCCTTGCCCTACCATTGACCATGTCCTACAGCGATGCCGTCAGCAGCTCTGCCAAAGCGGCGGCCCCCAGGACTGGACACATGAGTTTCCCTGCTTATCCAGCAGCGACAGATCCTCCAATTCCGGCTGAGAAAGTCGAGAATTCTGACTTGAAAGTGCTTGTAGCACGAATCGCCAGGAAAGGCTTCAAGTTGGTCCTCCTGGGTGATGCCTCCGATACTCAGAAGCATCTATTGACACCTGTAGCTATAGATAGATGTGCATGTTTTCCGACTACGGCTGCCGATTCTGAATGGTATCTTATTCGTAAGAAACCATCGGCCTCAGGTGGGAAAGTCCAGCATCTTGCTCAGATTCCTTCACAACAAGTTTTCTGAAGAAATCGCCTCTCGGCTGATTTCAGACCAAGCATGACTAAGCCTTGCGCCATCCTGCTACTGGGCGTGAGGTCTCCACGTGCATTCTTGTTTTCGTAGCCCAGGCAACGACTGTGGGCGCTGCCTTCAACACGAAAACTATCGAGTCGAAGGGGCGCCAGGCCGGAGGGGCGCAACCTGCACTTCCCTGCAAGCTTCCAGCAGACACGATTGCCGGATCTTGCGGTCCTGAGGTGCTTGAAACAGTTGTCGCCAGGTCAAGTTTGAGATCTGGGACACCGCAGGTCAGGAGCGCTTTCGCAGCCTGGCACCGATGTACTACAGGCCAGCACTTCGGAGAAGCTGCATAGGACTCTGTTGCTGCAAAAAGCACCATGTCAGGGGCGCTTCGGCAGCGATCGTGGTCTATGACCAGACCAATGCGGTGACCTTCGATCGAGCACAGGAGTGGGTTCGAGAGGCTCGTTTAATGCTCTGCTTCGATCAGCATGGGCATGACCGCGTGTGGTTTTGGGTTTGGAATCGGCATGAGTGAGATGATGGAAGCACAACATGTGCAGGTCATGTCAACCTCCACCAATCCAAACATCGTGATCGCGCTCGCAGCGAACAAGGCGGACATGGAGTCGAAGCAGCAAGTCTCCTGGGAGAAGGCAGAGAGGTTTGCTCAACAGCAAGGCCTGTCTCTAGGCTTGAAGAAAACACAGGCATTTGCTTAAGTCATTGCGTTCGTAAAGATGTCGTGGCAGTTCCTGCGTTCAGATGCAGAAACTGTCATGTCAGTGATAATTGGACGAATGCTTAAATCATGCGTTTACACGGTGTTGAGCTCAAGGTGCGCAGTTTCGGTGTTAAAGAGCTTCCGGACAGATTCAGAGGTTGGGCTTATGTGGTAGGAATAGGTTTGAACATAATGAGGGCTCCATGTTTACATACTGCTGACTGCACAGGTATTTAGGGTTTGAGGTTCTGCGCGAGGGTTAAGGGACGTATGCCTAAGAACCAGAACTACCACTTCCCAACCCTGCACCATCGAACTTGAAGGCTTGGAGGCATTGGAGTGGGAGTCGAGGATTTAGGGGTTGTGTTCCGGGTCGCACGGCTTGGGCTTGGTTTCCGGATTCAGCTTTGGAGTTTGTTCGGGGCTTGGACTTATGGTTAAGCCGAGCCGCCACCCCCACCCCCCACCAACAGCTCCAATTAGTTACTGGACTTGAGTCGATAGAACTCCCCTCTGCACACTTGTCGACCTGATAGCCCTTGAACGCATGGCCGTTGGATTGCTTCATTGAAAACCTGCCTGGATGACAGAGACGGTAAAGTGCTTCGACGTTTAAAGTTGGAACGGCAACAAGCTTGTAGTTCAGGCCAGCAGACTCCGTGAGCGTGACACCGTTGAAGTTACAAAGTAACCGAACGCATGGCCACCGGATCTACCTGAGTTGCGAAAGTGGCCTGGGTAGCCGTGACACTGACCCAGGGTTTGAGTATTCTAGTATTCTAACCTTATTTGGGTTATGAAGCAGGCAGACTACATACGTGTGACGAGCCTTCAGGATTAAGCTGGGGAGTCTTAGACAAATCAACCAGCCTGAAGATTACCAACTACGTAGCTCTGACCGGGCTCAAGTTACATGCCGGGAAGTTAACTGCACAGTTACTGTACTTTTTTTTAACTGGTGTCACTGCCTTCCTTATTCACGCTTAAGCGAGTTTATGCTCATGCTGACGCTTGTGCTTAAACTGCATTCTATGCATACGTGCGTATGTCTGTGTTAATGGTCATCATGTTTAGATTTATGTTTATGTTTAGGTCTGTGCATATGTTTTCGCATGAATATGCAGACATACAGGTGTGAATACCTGTCCTGTATCCCTGCATAAGAGAACTTGTTGTGCATGAGGTTCCTCCTGGACACATCTGCGATGACCGGGAAGTAGCCTCCATCAACCTGGTATGTTTCAAAGCTGTTCACTACAGTATACGAATCTGTTGTTGGTTATGGCCAACATGCGTCACTCGTACATCTCAGGAACGTCCTACGGCTGTTTGAGGGCATAGCTGAATTGCTGCCTGATGAGCCTTTCATGCCTCAGCAGCGCGGGCTGCAAGCGACGTGGGCAGAGTTCAGCATCTTTCCCTTTGCCTTCTGCCGGCTTCTCTGTCCATTTGATGATGAGCGTCTTTTCCCATCAATCGTCCCAGGTTTTAACAACACCGACGACCACAAATGCCACGGCAGCGACTGACCAGAAAGCCTCTGCAAGGAGCAGATGTTGCTAGCAACAGCCCTCCTGTAGCACGCATCGTGTTCTGTTAGCGAGCATCAGGCAAAACTGCCTGCACCACTCCAGAAAGGCGGATGGAATCTGCACTAGGACTACCAGGGATTGCACGGGCACAGAGCCATCCGACTTTCTTCACTACCGCCGTTAGGCAGCCTGAAAGCCTGGCGAACCCACTCGTTGACTCAGGTCCGTGTCCCTCCAGACTTCCGAGCGCACGCTTCGAAAAGGAATTTGGAATTTGTACTGACAGCTGATGGTTGCAGGGATTGCGATCTGGTAGAACTGTCCTGGACGGTATGCTTCCTTCCGTGGCTGGCCGCATCATGCGTCGGATGACTTGTCTTCAAGGACCTCCTCCGGACGTCGGGCTGGGGAAACCCAGAGCGAATATTCAGCAGCAGGCAGCTCAGACGTCGCATCGACACCAAGCTCTGCCAAGACTGCACGGCCAAGGTGACGTCGACAAGCTGCGCTGCTTGCTAGCTATGGCTTTCAGCGACCAGGCTGGGTGAGTCTCGGCAGTTACACAAAGCTAGCGCAGTGTCGTGTTCGACAATCGAACACGTAGCATATTCTGCTTCTGTCATTAGGCTTGCGATTTCATGCAGACAGTTCTGGCAGATGCTCTTGCACCTGAATCCACGCTGGGCTCCATCTTCTGGTGGCAAGAAGCGCTTGGAAGAGCAGGCACGCAGAGCTCACGCAGAGCACAGGAGTGTACCGTGCTTCCTCTCAACTTCTACGGATTCTACGGGCTGTTGTGAAGTGGACGGACACGCTAGGTCATGCTTGCATGGTTACCACGAAGAGTCAAAGAGAGTATGCCCCGATACAGCTAGGACAACGCTCGATTGAGTTTGCTGCATCCTTTTGTGACATTTTGTATGCATGCCTGGCGCTCGGCCTTCGTCACAGGATGGAGTTAGGCTTGAGACGGCTGTTACCGTCACGCCGCGAAGAACATGAGCCGTAAGGCTAGAAGGACATGTATTCAGTCTTCTAGATGCTTCAAACGATTGAGACCACCTAAATCAGCCGAGTCAGTGTCACCCTCACTCTTGCCCATGAAACCGTCCGTCCGAGCACTCTGTCCAAGATCGCAGATGTTGCGCAGTCTTCCTTCCAGTGCCGTAGTAGCCTCCGTAATGACCTGATGGCATGATTAGCCATCCGGACTTCGGCCAGGGCCTCTCAGAGTCTTTTCAGGAGGCTCGCATCGGATGGAAAGGATGACTTTTTGCAGAGCCACCCGGACTGCGGCCGCGCTTTGCCGAAGCCGAGGCAGCCTCGGGCCTGGGCCTTGCGGCCTGGGCGGCCTGGGCGGCCTGGGCGGCCGGGAGGAAGATGAGGCAAAGAGAAGCTGCCAAGAACAAAGCTCTACATAAGCTCTCTAAGCTCTCTTCTTCTCTCAGAAAGGAGGCTCTCACATGCGATGCCAGGACAGTCCAGGTGGTGACAGCAATACCTCGCCCCGATCTTGGCAAGCGTTTCCTGCGGGCTGTCGTGTACATGAGCCGGTACACTGGATAATGCACTGGAGAGGTGGTGGATCAGTTCAGTTGTCCAGCAGAGTCCAGCATTTTGCAGTCTTGCGGCGGCGGCGGGCCGACTGCTGGATGAGCGTGAGGAGACGCGACCTGCGCTCTGTGCTGGGAGCTGAGAGTACCGTTGTGGGTCTTTCTTGCCCGCGGCCGTGAAAATCCTTGAAAAAGAAACCGCGGCGTGAAGCTTACTGCAGTGCCTGCCTTCTTCTTTGCAGTCTCCGTTTCCTTAAGAACCTGCTTCCGCTCCTACCCAGGCGCAATCGCGACACGTAACAGCACACCCCATGTAGCGACGAAGACAGCATATTTGGAAACTCACGAAGGGCCTGAAAGGCCTGAACTGGTGGGACCCCTTGGTGGGCGCAAACGCAGAGCTTCAGAGCTTCAATGCAAGTCCCTCCAAGCCAACGCAGAGGCGATAACCAGAATGTCAGAGGCAAGGCTTCATGTAGGGAGCAGGAAGGGAAGTCCAGCGTGAACGCCGCCACATTCCCGAAGATGAGAATGTGGCTGGAAAGCAAACATGCAGCTGTCACACCGTCGTGCCTAAGTGTTGTGCACACCTACTGTGTCTTGAGCGTTGATGAGTGGAAGGCAGCGGGGGTGCGCAAGAAGGGCCCGCTCGTGGGCCGACTGAAGTGGATTTCGGATGGAATGGGCACACGCCAGCGAGGGGCAGGGCGTGGTGTGCCTGACCTTGTGAAAGACGTAGAGGAAGAGACGAAAGGACAAGTCTGAGGAGTCTCTTCATGCTCACATAGAGGGGGAAAGGCAACAGACAGGTGTGGGGGTGAGAGTTTTAAGTATCTGGCAATGCAGCCCAGGCCGCTTCCCAGCGCCTGGCGCTTGGGCGACGGGAAGGCTGTGGGAGCTTGTGGGAGGTCGTCGGAATGCCGTTGGCAGATTGGTGCACTTCTTCTTGAACATACTATGCATAGAAATTTACATACATCTCTCTATATACATGTATGTGTATACGTTTATATAGCATGTACGCATGTACACACACAGACAATATATATATATATATATATATATATACACACATATTGATTCTGCACTTATATATATATATATATATGTACACATACACATATACTGGTCCACACATATGCTTATGCGTCTAGTCTCAAACTGCTGATGCTAACGAAGCACAAAGCCGGACCATCTTGGCGAGGCACGTCAAGGGTAGCCATTGGCCCGCCGCGGTCGGTGCCGGCCACAGCCGTGTCCAGCAGAGTCAGATGCTGCACACGTCCCTGCACCACTGTCACTACCGTCTACTCTAGTGCGCGTTGCTGTGCTTGCTGTTCAGTCCTGCCGCATTGAAAGCTCTCTGTGTGCCGTGGTGGCTCCGGGATGTGTTTAAGATCACAACAGAGCAATCGTCAACACAACATGAGCAAGACTCTGTGAATCCAAGGCTATCCGAGGCCGTAAAGCAGCCTCTATGCCGGAGGCACCAACGCCGGCATCTCGGCCTTGCAGCATCTGTGTCGTCTTGTCCCGTCACGCTGCTGCTTCAGGTTAGCCAATTCACGTCGCGACCTCGACAGCAGTCACGGCTGCTGCATCGAGATCCGCTGCTGGCAAAAACTGGGTGTGCAAACACCAGGAGACCATCTCGGAGGCGCTGCTGCGCTCGTCCGGGACGTCGGTGTGTTTGGGATGCATTACGATGCTCCAGCAAGATCTGCAATGCTGGTTTAAGAGAGCGCGCACCCGATTGCTTTTCTCCTCCGACGTCCAAAGCTGTTGTATGGCTTGATGGAGAAAGCAGGCGTACTCAGAAACGATGCTTCGTTGCTTCGACCCGAGGCCTCGATGCCAAAGGGCCTCGAGAGCTCGACCTCAGGTGCCTTTCCGCTTGCCGAGAGCTCGTCAAGCTATGGGCCCCGCCAGTTACCACGACGCCACCAGCTTGGTGCGATCGCAAACCGCCCGAGAGCTCCAGTTCGAGCAGGCCCTCCTGCGGCCACGACCTTCTTGCTCGAGACTCTCATGTCACTGTCTTGGAACTTGTGGAGGTCTAATGCGACGACCAGCGCTGGTACGAGCGTGGTACGGCGAACCAGTGTCGGAGACTGACCTTTGCAGATCTTTGCAGTTGTACGTTCTTTGCAGCCTCAACAGCAAAATGAAAAAAAGCACACTTAGATAATCTTGTCGCGCAGCATTGGCTTTGGTCCTGCGAGGCTCCCAGCAGCGCGGGGTCAACAGTGCTCCGCTCCAGCTGGGTGGATGGGACCTTGGCCTTTGCACACTTGGACGCCGAATGCAGTAAAGGCCCAGACGGCATGACCAAGGACCGACTAGCAGGGTCCAGTACGGCCCTCAGATGAAAATGCTTAGCATCTTCTGTGTGAAGAGACACCGACAACCGACTACTGTGTTTTTGTTGTTGCTTCATGTGGTCTGCATGCAAAGAACACACTGCGGGAGGTGCCAATGGAATGCGTGGGGACGTGTCGGCCAGGGCACTCAGACGATCGCAAGCTGAGCCCGGAAGTGAACCGCGCCGACTGGGGGGGGCTTAGGTTAACGTCCGGCTACGCCCCGGCTCCAACTCGGAGGATGAACTTGGCGATGGCAACTTGACGAATCATCGAATCTTGACTGGCACAACTTGACAGGACGATCGTTGTGCTGAGCCTTGCAGGGAGCTCATGCACTCGGTGAGGCTGCCCTGTGGCCCTGTCTCCTGTGTCGTTCCGGCTGAGACCGTAATTTGGATCGAAGCTTCAGTTGCCATCCCTCCTGCTTTGCTTGTCCGTAATGCCCACTGGCTTCAGTTTCAGTGGCAATCCTTCTGTACACGGCTGCGAGACAATTGTGAAAACCTGGCAGGCTGCGCCAAATAGGCAGCAGATACGATCAGCTGGGCGAGGCCTGTTTAGATGTGTAATACCCGCAAGTCGGGCCTCTACTTCAACATGGCTTTGCGTCTATGGCATGAGCTGAAGACTGGGCCTCCATGTGTATTGTGTCGACAAATTGTGCCTGGCAGGCTCAGTACCAATTCGACCACGTTTTTCCAGAAGAGGCCTCCCAGGAGGAGGCTCTGAGAGTGAGCTGTTGTGTCCGCGTGCATGTGTGCTCTGTCGATGCGGATCAACTACTAGTCTTCAGCCCTCTTGGAGACTTCAGCCTTCGTGAGATTCCGAGGTACAAGTACAATTCCTCCGTAAGTAAGGTCCCCGCAAGCCTGGGCCGCATCGTGGCACCCCAGTCATACATCGGAACATCCCACCGCCGAGTCCCACAAGCTGTTTGTGTATGGGTGGATTTTTTCTGAATGTGCATGTGCATGTACGTATGCACGTATGTATCTGCTTACCAATGTATGTACGTATGTATGCATGCATGTTTGGCATGTATGCATGTGCGTATGTATGTGTTGACGTCGCTCGGGAGGGAGGGATGGAAGGATTGACACATGCATGAAGAAATTATCTGTCGTGTGTATGTGTGTATGAGTGAAGTGCTTCGTGGCCTTGATGGTGCTTGATGGGCATAAAGCTGGTGAGTGTGTCGGATTCCTAAGTCTTGTCTGCGTGCGTGTATGTGGATAGGTAGGCAGATCGACAGCACAAGGTCGTGCATACGCATATATACACACGCACGCATAGTTGGAGACACAACTGTCTCTACTATGCCATGCCTTCAAGCACTGCCAGGTCTTCAATGTTGCGGTGGCGCCGATTTGCGAGGCCACCGAGCACCTTCAGCCCAACACGGACTGTTCTTGCCAAAAGTCGGAGGTCTGCTTGGAAAGGATCTTTGGAGTAGAATTCCCGCTCGAGGCGGTCATCAGTGGCTACAACGGCGCAGTGATCGCTTATGGCTGCTCTCTTGGTGAGAAATGCGGGTTCCGACATGATACATCACGTTATGTTGGTGCGCTTCGCTTGCCACATGGAACTATGCTGCATGGTCGGTAAGGCCAGACGGGGTCAGGTAAGACCCACACCGTCGTGGGAACTTCGAAGCAGGAGTCTCAGCGTGTCGGCTGCCAGTCGTATCTCTTGAGTTCGCCTCAGACCCGGAAATCGCCGTCGTGATTCGCCTTCTGGCAGACCGGCCACGCTCAGTCGGTTTTTTTTTGATGGAGCTTCTGAGGTTTAGAGGAGTTGCGCCAAGAGC